ACTGGTCGCTGGGGAGTATTTCTCCTGCTGGAAATCCTGCTGGGCGTGGTAGACCTGCTGCTGCTGCTGCTGGTACGTCTGTGGAGAGGGCGCCTGCTGGTGGAACCTGGCGCTGCGAGTTCCGCTGCTGCTGCTGCTGCTGCTGCTGCTGGGAAGAACTGCCGGCCCTGCTGGCCCTGCTGGCCCTGCTGCGGCTGGGGAAACCCCGCGACAGACTCTCGGACGGGCAGCATGTCGGCGGGCAAGAAGGAGGAGCTGGCGGTGCGCGGGCGGTACTGGGTGCTGGCGGGCCTGGCGATGCTGGAGACGCTGCCGGCGTGGAGGTGCGACGGGCCCTCGGGGAGATGCGGCGAGCTGCTGCTGCTGCGGGCGTCGAGCGTGTGGAACTGGAAGCCGGCATTGCCTGGCACCGGCTTGCGGGGAGGCGCCTTGTATACGGGCGAGCGATAGTCTGCCATCGTCATTCGGCCTGGGAGTCTCGCTGGCCGTGATTCTCTTGCTTCTTGCTGCTGCTGCTCGTTCTTCTGCTGGTTGCTGCGGCGGTCCTCAGCAGGCGCGGCCAGGGGCTCGATCGACGGCGGGAATACGAGCTGCTCGAGGGCTATGCTACCGCATCTGTCACTCTGACAGTCCTCTGGTCCGCCACTGGCGAGCTGTCAGCGGTTGCAGCGGGAGGTCGGGGGATGGTTGGGATTGGAATCGCGATCGCAGGCAGGCCAGGAAGAAGAAACGGGCCGGGGCGGACGGCGGCTACGGCGCGACCTCGACCGGGACTGGGCTGCGCAGGGCAGAGCGAGAGGGCCTGCCGCAGGGACAGGACGCTGTGAGTAGTAGAGAGACGGTGGACGGTCAGGAGTGACAGGATCGAGAGAGCGAGCGAGGGCGGGCGTTGTAATGTATATATGTATATGTAGAGCCGCCGCAGCTTGGAGGGTTTTTCGATGCCAGCGAAGAAGCAACAGCAGAAGAAGAAGGAAAAAAAAAAAAAAAAAAAAAAAAAAAAAAAAAAAAAAGCCAACGCCACTGCTGAGACGCTGCGAAGCCTTGGAACTGCTACGGTAACAGAGCTCGTTCGAGCGAGCCAGACGAGAAAGACGGGCAGCCAGGCGGATAACCAAGAGCTCCTGTTTGCTGGGCGAGGAGGAGACAAGCATCTTGCCGCGCTGCAGGGGAGATTCAAGGGCCTGCTGTCCTTGCACTTGCGGTATGGCATACATATATAGCTACATCTACGGCCGCGGGCTACGGGAGGACGCAAGGCATAGCAGCAACTCGGCTCGGCTGGCCTGGCCATGGTGAGGATGCGGTCGGATGGACAGCGGACTATAGATAGCGGCTCTCTCTCTCGCGCTGGCAGCTGGCTTGCTTGTTCGCCAGAGTCCAGCTGCTGCTCCCAGGCCGGCCGGCCAGCGAGGAGGCTCAGAGCAGGCTCGCTCGCTCTGGGACGAGCCGAGAGACGGCAGAAGGGAGACGCAGCGCAGGCAGGGCAGGGCAGGGCAGGGCAGGGCATGGCATCGCCCGGATGCGAGGCGGCGCAGTGCCGGCCAGAGCTTGCCCAGACACCAGTTTGCCCGTCTGGCGAGACGTGGCTTGCTCGTCGGCTCGTCTGCTCGTCTGCTCGTCTGCCCGTCTGCCAGGCCAGTCTGCGCGCTGTCGGGCCGTCAGTCGGTCGGCGTTGGGAGCAAAAGGGGGTTGGCAGCCTCAAGGTAGGGTCTGACTGACATATATACTCCGTATATATAACGCTATGCTAAGTCCCGGAGCTGTGCATGACCAAGCACTTAAACAGCTAACCAACTAGGTATGACGGCATCCCAGGGTGTCTCGTTTCTTTTTTGCGGGCTCGTCTTGCTCGGAGGGAGGAGAGCCTTGCTGCCCCTGACCAGGGAGCTGCACTGCTGCTGGATTCCTCAAAACTCCTGCACTGGCAGACAATACTCATCTCAGCCTTGGCCGTGGCCGGCAGGTCTTGGAAAGATCATGCAGAGTAGTTAGTTAGACGGTGCTCCGCCGGTAGTCGATACCTCTGGGGATAATAGCTGCTCACTCTGGTACTCCGTGCAGAGTTCGTATCAGACAAAGAGACGGACTACGGCCAGTCATATTGCATCATATTCTCTCCATGCGACGGTCCATCACCCAGCAGGCCTCCTTTGACGAGTTTGCTCTATCGATGGGCCTTTATCATCCTTCGCTAACTACACTTTTTGTGGCGCTGGGGACGCTAGGGACTCGACTTCCGGCCATCCAGGGTCAAGAAAGGGACCCCCCCCCTTCGACCTTCGCCTGCACCAAGAAAATGGAATAATAACCAGACTAGACCTGCTTGCCCTGCTTGCCCTGCTTGCTGCAGAAGAGCCTTGCAGACAATCTGCTTTTAATGCCTGACGAGGAGGCCTCCTTCTTTCTATCACAGCAGTCTTTGCCAGAGAAAGACATCTCCCGCTCCGTTGCACCTCCGCCCCAGCTGAGAGCTAACCAACTAGCTCAACTAACTAAGATGGAGTCCAAAGAACAGTCTCGCGGAGGCTGCGGGACGCTGGGGGCTCACTCGGCAGTGGAGAGTACTAGCACGAGCAGCCCTACTGTGTTGCCGTTGGAGGTCGATGACGATGTCCGTTGGTGATCTATACATGACCCTCCCCCTTTTTGTCTTTACTACCCATGTATATGACCCGCTGACGGACAAGTAATAGCACGAAAGCGACTATTCCGATGAGCTGTATGCATCAACTTGCTCTCTCTCTCTCTCTCTCTCTTTCTTTCTTGCCGTTCTTCTCATGCGGTGCAACATGATGATGCACGTCGTCTAACGGGCCTGCAGGTCAAAGTACTCAGCCTCTCTGACATCCAGTGTTGTCGATTATCCCGTTGTGCATGGGCGAAGATACCACGCCTACTGTCGGGGCAGTGAGTAGGGTTGCTATTACTCTTACTATCTAGCTAGCTAAATTAACCAACCCCCGTAGGATATCTGTTCCCCAATGACGAGCAGGAGAACGAAAGACTGGACATCCACCATGCGCTCATCGACACCCTCTTGCATGGCCGGCTCCATATGGCCCCTATCAGCAAGGATCCCCAACGGGTACTCGATTTATGCACCGGAACCGGCATAGTACGTGCTTCAACCCGTCTGTCTCACTATTGCTTTTACTAACCTGTCGTCCGTCACAGTGGGCTATCTCATTCGGTAAAATTACACCCCCTTGAGTAATCGCTCTGGCTATGGCTAACAAGTCTTATCAAGCCGATGAATACCCATCAGCTGAGGTGCGAACCTTCCGATACAGCCTCGCCAATCAACCTGCACTACTAACGCTGCGAACAGGTCATAGGGAACGATCTAAGCCCTACTCAACCTTCTCTGTATGTATATATACCCACTCCTTCGCCAATATCTCGCTTACATGCAGACAGCGTGCCCCCGAATCTGAAATTCATCGTTGACGACGTCGAGGATGAATGGGGCTACGAAGGCAGTCCCTTCGACTACATCCACGGCCGCTTCCTGATCGCATCCATCAGAGACTGGCCACGGCTAATAAAGCAGGCCTTCACGTATGCAACCTACCTACCCAGTCACAACCTGCTAGTTAGATTTACCAGTGGCCCCCGACTAACAAGCATCAAGGTGCACGAAACCCGGAGGATGGGTTGAGTTCCAGGACTGGGACGGCACTATCCGCAGCGATGACGATACGTTAAAGGGAAGCCACCTATTCCAACTGCAGGAAACAGTTAAAGAGGCGTTCATTGAGATGGGCATCAACGCGAACCCAGGTGCTGAATGCAGTAGCTGGCTCAAGGACGCCGGGTTCACTAACATCACCACTCAGGTTACTATCCTTTTCTTCATCCCCTATTCCAGCATGTGTATAGTACTAACGTACAGCCGGCGGTAGAAATATAAGGTCCCGCTTGGGACGTGGCCGAAGGATAAGCACTTGAAGACTGTAGGTGCATATAACTTGCTTCAACACACCGAGGGACTAGGGGGTATTGCCAATCTGCCTTTGATCAAAAAGGGCTGGCAACCGGAGGAGATTGAGGTCCTTTTGTCAAAAACGCGGGAAGATCTAAGAAACCGTTCTATTCATTCGTATTTCAATTTGTAGGTTTAGTACTTGCCTTGTTTTCTACCTGTTTGTTGCCTTGGTAATGACTAACGTTGGAGCTGGATAGTTATGTCGTATACGGTCAGAAACCTAATGCTACGTCGGCTACGGGAGGGTGATCTTTTTTTTTTTTTTTTTTTTTTTTTTTTTTTTTTTTTTTTTTTTTTTGCTGATATAGTGTTTCTTTATTCTCCAATAGATATCCTTGGTATTCAGAAATAGGCAACGCGTCAAATTTCCCTTAGATCTGAGTATTCAGCTAAAGGTCTTGAGATAAATTTCGCCACTTAACCCCAGAGTACATGCAGTGCATCCTTTTTTGAGCAGTTGTGACTTCAGTGTATCCATCGGCGGCCAGGTAGTTGACTCAACGACCAATACACCGGTTTCTTCTCTCCGAATCCTAGGACAAATCGAAAAGGCCAGGTCGGGGAAGAGAGAGAAACCGGGCGTTATTGCGGGAAGTCGGAAGTACGTTGTTTCGAAATAACGCGAAAGCCTGGAAGGGATAGGCCGTTTCCAATTCTTGTGAGCTATCCTTTAGGGGCAAGCCGGCTGCCCATCGCACAATCCTAGTACGAGCACGGAAGAGTGCTATACCGACGTTGTAGTGATGCATATGATAAAAACAGAAACCATCTCGTTTATCCATCGCCATGAACTCGGAAACATCCCAATCCATGCCCGGGTGGTAGCGAAATTCGATCTGGCTCTGCGGGAAGAATCGAGCATGTTTATCTACGAGAGAAATAACCTGAGAACCATTCTGGTAACTCACCGCGGCCAGCATATATACGGGAGCTCCAGCCCTCCGTTCCCGGGGAGTTCGGTAGGTAGCAGCTTGCAGAACGTTCTCTGGCTTAAGCAATTCCCGTGGGATTGGAGCATCTTCTGTCAAAACTCCAATATCTACCGCCTGGTATTCAAATTTGTGTAGCATGCGCTTCTTGGGTGGTTCTGGAATGGCATCTGCTGATGTCCAATGATGAAAAACCTTGGAGAGGAAAGTTCCCATCTCCCCGTCCGTAACGTTAACTCGGGGGTCAGTGAACTTCTTGATCTTGCGAATGTAAGCACGAAGTTCGTTCTTTTGCTCAGGAGAAAGCTGATCGGGGGAGCAAATCAAATTTTTTGTAGTGTCTGGCATGACGGCAGGCGCTGGCGAAAAGTCAGGAGCGTCCATTCTTTCTGTTTCCTATGTGGTATAAAATCCCGGCTCTCGAGGAATGATCGGATTTTTCGCCTCTTTTGGTTCTCCAGTCGAGAAAATAACGACGATGACGTAGAGAGACAGGCTCGTCAGCAGAGCATATTCTACATAGATTCATGAGTTCAGTCAATTTCCTGGAGGGGTGAAATGAAAACTAGGCCATGACGACCAAAAGGCTGGTCAGGGAGTAAAAGATTTGGGTATACCTAGATGTGAGAAGCGAATTTCAAGTCTCTTGCCGAGTTTCCGCAGCAAAACTAAATAAGCTGGATTTGGAGTGTAAACGAGGATACAAATCGCGGTGGTTCACTTCTGGTAAAGATTCTCAAGGCCAATGGTATCCGTTCAAGAGGAAGCAAGTTTCGAGGACAGCCAACTAGAAAGGAAGAAGTGGTATCATCATACAAGAAAAAAGCCAGAGAACTCTTAGCCTCTATCAGGCTATTCAGTGATTAATGTTCACATTGCTATTTGATTAACCTAGCATGCGATATTGGGGAATTATCGCATCGTTGATGCCCCCAATATTTCTTTCACTAAGAATAAGTTTTTGGATGATTCCTGCAATATCGTAAAAAGCATCACCAGATAACATAGTTATTCTTTGAGCCCTTATCATTATATCTGTCAAGTGGGTATCATCTTGCAATCCAGCATATTTATCAGAATATGCCCTTTTATGTAGCCGCGTTGTTGTTGACGTCCAGTTTCTCTTTTTTTTTGCCGCCGAAATAGACGCCATGGTTAGTCATCAATGTCACATCACGTGCCTAATTAATCGAGTTGACGCGTTTAGTTCGCGTTTGTTGCAGGCTCGAAGCGACAACAAGCAGGCAGCAAACACATTTGGACAGACAGGAGACAAGACGGCTGTACGGCCCATGACTTGTTTCTGCATCTTTGATTCTCCCGTTTGACAGAGATATACGCCTTCGTTTTGTCCCCAAACCAAATATTGTCACGTCATAGCTCGAATACGACTGTCGCTCGCTACAACTTCAATCTGATATTGACAGCCTCCGAGACACGGATTATTACCCCTTGGTTCATTTATACGCATTGGCATAGAACTCCATCGATTTCCACGCGAACTGTCAGATAATTGGCTATTGCTAGAGGGACTCCTGTGTGGCGATACCTAGGTACATGGTTGAAACCGCGGATCAGGGCAACAGTCTATGGTTATTTGCAGCCCTTCACATCGCTCAATATAGACTAAAATGACAGAGGTCGATGTTCGTCCAGGCATGAATGGACTACCGGCTTCAAGATTGACCCCGGATCCCCCAAAGAAACGGATATTCGAGGAGTTGGACACTCCTTCCCAACCTAGTTCTACATCCGCAGTACAATCCAATGTTGACAGGGCTGTTGATTCTCATAGCTCCTCCAACCATGATCCGTCAGTTATGAATGCAGACCCTGTTCCAGCAGATGCTATTCCTCAAGCCTCAATTGATATAACCACTAGTGAAACTCCTTCTACCCCTAAAGAGAAGCCAGCTAACCCCAATAAAAAACGCAAACTATCACCCGCAAGCAAGGAGGCTAAAGAAAAGCAGAAAGCAGAGGAAAAGGCTAAAAAGGAAGCAGAACGAAAAGCAAAAGAAGAGGAGAAGAGAAAGCGTGATGAAGAAAAAGAAGAGGAACGTAAATTGAAAGAAAAGGAGAAGAAGAAGCGTGAAGAGGAGAGGGAGGAGAAAAGACGCCAGAAAGAAGAAGAGAAACAGGCTAAAGAAGATGAAAAGCGAAAGAAGGAGGAAGAAAAGCAGAGGAAAGAGAGGGTATGTGACATGACATCAGTATCGCGGAGAGTTAACATGGCTAACAAACCTACTGTAGTCCCAGATGAAACTCAATGCTTTCTTCACAAAACCAAAAGCTACCCCCAGCACAACGACGGGAAATGAGACCAATTCTGCTAGGACAACGACCAATTTGGCCTCTGATTCGGCCACTAAAGCATCTAAACCTGCCTCGGATTTCGAACTTGAATTTCCACCCTTCTTCATTCAGTCACACGTGAAGCTGGCTCCTAACCATAGGTTTGAGCGAGATTCAAATGCATTAAGTCATGCATGCGAGAAACTCGACAACCTCCGTAAATCCGATTTCGGACTTGCCAACGATGACATCCCATTGCAACGGTATAACCCTGCTGAGTTGTTCCAGATGATATCATATAGGCGTCGCCAGGGTGAACCAGCAACCCCATCTGTGAAGGAAATCCTCCTTAAGCTTCAAGACCCCGAGCTTAATAGCATCGACCTTACCGATACGAATGGAACGGCAACCCAGGTAGAGAAGTTGCTTCGAAAGATACCCATGAAGGTCTTGAATTTCAGAGAAGACGTCAGGCCTCCATACCAAGGCACATTCACCAAACGATTGGAACAAAGGGCTGCCCGAAAGCTATGTCGAAATCCGTTTTGGCGGGGCGTACCCGAGTTTAATTATGATTATGACTCCGAAGCAGAATGGGAAGAGCCAGAGGAGGGAGAGGATATCCTTTCTGAAGGGGATGATGAAGTGAGCGATGATGGGGAAGATGACATGGATGATTTCCTAGACGATGGAGAGGACGAGTCAGCCAATACGAAACGGAGAATGATTGTTGGAGATCTCGAGCCGAAATGCACAGGAATATGCTGGGCCGAGGACAGTGCTGATAACCCAATAATGAATCAACACCGAATGGAAATTATATCAGGTATGGCCAGGCTTACATTTCTTACAAGGATATATCAGAACTAACTTATCACAGAAAACATAACATTCCCCATTGACCCCTTTTCTACTCAATATTGGGAGACGAAACCGAAAGTATCTTCAGGGAATTCGGCTTTCAAAGTTCCCCATAGACCATCCACGGGCAAATCGCCTTTATCAAAATCACAGCAACAATCATTATTATCACCTTCGTCGGCTGCAAAATCCTCCAAGCACCTTACTCCAATGGTGGTTGTACCGATCAGCAAACCTAAACCACGAATTCAATTCCCAGAAGATAAGCTGGATGAATTCAAGGAAGCTGTTTCAGGGAGCAATCTAACCAAAGCCGGATTGATTGAAGTTTTGAAGAAAAGGTATGCTTCATTCTCCACCTTACCTTAAATTCACATCAGGAGCGAAGATGCTAACCATTGATATTTGTTCCTCGTCTAGATTCCCCAAAGTGTCCAAAGATATTATCAAAGAGACTCTTACCATCATTGCGGCGCGACAGGGTCAAAAAGAAGTAGACAAGAAATGGGTTCTGCTTTAAGCATTTATGATTTTCTCCATGTTTACTTTCTTCATCCCTAACCATATAAAGATTATTTATATCGTTCCTATAACCTATCTTCCATGGCTAACCTCTTGTCATTTTGATTGTGTCATGCTCGTATCCCAGACACACTTTTCCCAGCTTCGCTAGCTGTTCATATACCCTGTGTCCACGAGTAAATGACTTGCATCTTTCGATGTCGTGAGCATTCTAATTGGCAGCTCGATTTGTTACATATAGATGAGATTATCTTACATATTAGATATCCTGACAATTTGCAAGTATCTCTACGCTGTTTTTGAGGGCACCTACCCCCAAAAAGCCTGAATGAACAACAATTTCCGTATAATTGCAAACAACGACCTGAAGGTCGCATATCTTCTTCCACGTTTCAACATTGCTGAGGCAAGTATCGTAATAAGTACAACGGCCTTGATCTACATAGGGTAGGCTACCTAGTCCATCCATGATACCACACTCATCGTGGATAATGATTCTTTCTAGCTTTTCCTCTGAAGCTCATTGTTGTTCAACGAGCCAATCCTAAGATGTACAAGTTTAGCAAGGTGGGCTTAGAGTCATCTCCTACTCGTTCATATATCTCCATGTTGATCCCAGACAAGATGTCAAGAGTTTGGATTAAAGAATTGGCTCTAGAGGCCTCTGGCGTGTAACGGCATTTGTGGACGGATCTGACGAAGTTGTGGCTGGGGAGATACAACGTAGAAAAGTAGTCGTGAAGTCTCGTTGTATCTTTGGGTGCGCCTAGGTAACTATAGAGACCACACCTGGCCATCTGCGCTAAAGCTACTCTCTGAAACCGCCCCAAAGTACATTGGATGGCATGATAGCAGCAATAGCGGACTGTTTTAGCAGGAATGCAATGATCGAGCACTCTTAGATGCCAATAACCTAGATACTCTATACTCCCCCTTCTTTCCGACCTAGATATTGCCAGACCAAGTAGTGATATGGAGGGTCGTCCTGGTAAGGGAAGCTGGCCTAGGGGTATCTGAGGCGGCACCTGTCACCTCAGAGGAAACCAGAAGTGTTTTTGTGCCAGGTATAGGTCGAGGATATTATATAGCTGCATTTATTGCATCTATTTTGTTAAGCAAAGTTGATAACATAGCGTGCGTTGGTTCATACTTTGTAGAATATAGAGGGATATCTTGCCAGATGCACAATCAAGTCGAAGTCGCTTAAGGGCTGTCATGGGAAGGGTGGAGAGTCCTAGGAACGTAGTTATTAACACGGGTATCATGTGTCGAGTACACCGGCTCTTGTCCGCCCTTCTTCGCTGAGGTTGATATAAAGACGTTCCAGAAGAACGAGTAAGCTTAAACGGACGTCAACGCATCAACCTCGCCCTTCACCGACGACGACGACGACAACAGCAGCAGCAGCAGTAAGACTTCAACGGCCAGCTACTACAACAGTTACCTGGGCTGCGGGACAGTCACCAAGGAGAGACGTGGACACCCAGTAGGAGTGAGTACTTCCTGTGTCCTCCTATGACATCAGATGAGAGACCACATGAGCCAACGGCTCAGCAGCGGCCTGACACCGTGGAATGCCTGCCTGACTAGTTACAGATTCCTCATCAACCTGAAAGCTGAAACTGCTCCGTCCCACCCGCCAACAGCCCTCTTGAGCCTCTGCAACGGCGCTCTGAGGCGTTCAAGGCTCAGCTGCGAATGTCCCATAATTTGGCCACTATGTTGGCTAGCTAACTTATTCCTCTGCCACTAGTTAACTGCCATAGTCTGCTCAGGCCAAAATTTACGAAGAACAAGTCGCCCTTTGGCAAAAAGACGAGCTCGGCGTCCCATTCGCCATCTGGCTCGATAGGCTGTCCCGTTGCTCCCCCAGAGTTTGTTTTGCTTTCATGTGTTTATGGTGGGATGGGCGTGGCCCAACCAGAGCTGGTATATCAGATGCAAGCGGGGCGCTAGACGTGGTGGAATGCATGCATCGTTGCCAGCTCATCGACCAGACCCTGTCACCATGCTAGTCGCTCATTTGGCGCATCTGGCTGCAGCTGCAGTAGCAGTGTATGGCCCTCCAGGTGTTTTGAATGTGTGTCAAGCGGAAGGAAACGGAGGGAATGACGAGGAGAGATAGGATGAAGACAAGAAGAGAATGAAGAAAAACAAAAAGCAAAGGGCTGAAGAAGTACGGAGTACAAGAGAGCGGACAACAGAAGACGACGAAAGAAGCGATGACTGGGCAAACATTCGGACTTGAACATGGCAAGCCCGTTACTTTTTCTGCTCCCCATTTTTGCTTCTTTTCACTCTTGACAAGAAAGGTCGTTTGATGCATTGGACCAACGACGTGGCAGAGCTGATCTGCGACCAAGTCCAAGACCGCCCAACCTATCTGCACGACGACACAAAGAGCGATGGGGATGAAACCTATCGTATCTTGAAAGGCCTTGTCCGCAACCCATCATTTACGAGGAGCATGGCAGTTACGGGGATTACAATCCAACACGGAAATTCTGCAAGAATAATGAATTCCTCGACCTACCTTTTTCATTTTCTTTTCTTTTTCTTCTTCTTAATTTTTTTTTTTTTTGGCCTCAAAAGAAGAAAATGTTGTGGATGACCCCACGAAACTAGAGAAAGCCTCAGCCGTCCCGCCATTAGGTTGATATCTTAGGGCTGTCAAAGGCTGAATATGTTGATATTGCTTCCGTGCCAGGCGGTGAGACGGGCAACGAGCAACGGGCAATGAAGGCATGGCTGTCTGCGCCTGTTCAACCCATGCAAAGCTGCAACCATGGCCCGGGATAGGAGGAGGAAGTGGAGGTAGATGAAAAAAAAAAAAAAAAAAAAAAAAAAAAAAAAAAAAAAAAAAAAAAAAAAAAAGGAAGCAACAAGGTGCAACGATCTATTCTTAACCATATGCCAAAAACGCGCGGAATATAAGCCGGGCCAGCACTTCTGGGGTGTGGAAATGAGGAGGACTAAGTCTGCAGAACAACCAATTCAAGGTGCAGCTCGAGGTTTCAACCGCCGGGTTCAACCCTGACCGTTGAGGTATGACATCGCAAAGCTCGTCGCCAGCCAGGCGGTTCATCGAGGTTTCCCGCGTTTCCTTTGACCCTGTTGGCATGTATCACCCTTGATCGCCAATACATCGAACATATTACCTACACGCATTACATGGGGAGTTACTCCAGGCGAGAATGAGCGAGCATTTTGCAGCCTGCTGCTGCTACTGCTCCTCGTCCTCCTCGAGCTGCCTGTCCTGCCACCTGGACTTGTACGCCCCCTTACGCTCTCTCACATGCAGGGAGAGAGACGACGCTGCCAATCACAGGGCGCTCCAGCACGCCGTCCCCGATCAACTCCAGCATTTCTAGGCGTCGCCTTTTGATCGGAGGGAACCGAGCAAGTAAGAAACGACACATCTCTAGCCACCCAAAAAGCCAACCCCCCCTTTCCTCTGCTTCCTTTCTTTTCCCTTTCTGTTCCAACCCTCATACGCAGACGGACCCAGGAGCCGCGAGAAACCTTGAGGAACAAACCGGCCAGTCGATACGGGAGCATCGCTGTCCCTCTTAGTAACGGGCCTACGGAGTTCCCTCACGTAGCGTAAGACTAGCAGCAGCAATAATCGTGATGGGGCGTAAGCAAAATATGTAACCAGCAAAGAAGAAAAGAAAAAGAACGCAGTCCTTGTCAGGCCAACGCACTCCCCCCTTAACTATCAGGATCCCTTCGCCGCTCCGCTGCGCTTCTTATACACATGAAGAAGACCTCCCGGTTAGCGCAGAGAGACAACTCCGTCTCCCTCGTCAGCAGCCCAGCAGTCCCTTGTCGTGTCTGCAGCTGTCCTTTTTTTAGATCCCCCCCTTCCTATCCCTCGTCCTGTCTCGCTGCTGTATCTCCTTCTCGGGCCAACTCATCAACCGCTAACTCACTAACCAGACCAAAAAACCACCCCACGCTGGACCAACTTCCAGCCACTTTCTGTCTCTCCGTCGGTTCTGCTGCTGCTACTTCTTCGCTGCGGATCCTCTGCACTCTCTCAGGCTTCGAGCGACCATCTCGAGCCATGCGATAGTCTGCGCGGGCTCTGCTCTGTTCGCTCTGTCAGCTTGGGCGCTCGAGACTGCGACGGTCTCGAGATCGATGGCCCTGTCCTCGCCCATGGAAATATGATCAGCTTTCAACACGCCTGTCTCCCTTCCGTTCTGGCGTATGCTGCTGCTACCGGTACGTCGAGATGGCCTTTTCTGCGCTGGGCCTGCCTGTTGCGAGCTTGCTGACCTGTGGATGTTGGTGGAATCTATAACCGTAGCTCTCCCTCCATCGCCATCTAGTTCTCCGCCTAGATGCTATACCCCTACGATAACACCACCACCACCAGCAACAACAACGACGACGACGACGACGACGACAAGTACGACAACAAAAACAACAGCACACCCTACTACTGACGCCGCAGAGAACAATACGCCGAATCCCCCGTCAAAGCATGCTACGCCCCAGTCCGCTCGACGGGAAGACGACGGCTCCGCTGCCCGCGATGTTGCCCCAGAGCCTAAGGCGCCGGTTGATCCACTGGTTGGTGGTGTAAGTGCCCGCCTGGAACCCCTGGGACGTGAACCAAAAATCAAGGAGCAAGAGCAGGAGGAGCCAGCATCCGCACCTGAGGCCGTCAAGGATGAGAAGAAAGCTGAGTGCTCGTTCAAGATGGCACCCGAACTCATGATATCGGTCTCCCAGTTTGTCCACCAGTTTTACCTGCAGAGGTATCAGGAGGCCCAGAGACGTGCCAGCCTTCTCAGGATCAGTGACCTCCACGTTTCCGTCCATTACTCTGCTAGGTTGCTCCGTGTTGCTGCCGTATCGCACAAGGGTCTAGTCGACAGCCTTCGACATGGAGATAAGTCCGCTTTTGCCTCGGTCTACAACGCCGTCCATGAGATCCGCGAGGTTTGTGAATCTGCCGTCCGTCGCAGCATCCTCGACCATGACCCTTTGATTGGGACCGGCGCCGTACAGGGCAGACCACATACATTTCTCCATAGACTCTCCGCCGGGTCAAGGGCAGACCTGCTCGAAATTTTGACTCTTGTTCGTACAGATTCACAGTTTTTATTTGAGTGTATCAGCAACTTGACTTCCTCGCAGCTCTCTGCCCTCGTCAGCCCCCTCCATGCACTGGAGATTAGTAGTCCTTCGGATGCTAGAGGTAGAAGCCAGCCTTCATCCTCTTCCTCGTCCTTTTACAAGCGTGCTGCTACTCATTCCCCTGCTTTCAAAGACTATGCTTTTTCCTTTGAGCGTACTGACCCGCTCTTTGCGCTTCTGTTCAACGTTTATTCCACCACTTTGGACCCCGATTCATCGGAAGCCCAACTGCGCCTAGACATTTGGTCCTCGACTTGCGCCAAACTGATCTCCCACGGAGGCAGTGGAATGTATACCTTTGTTGGTCATCTCCTCAATATTTGGTCCGGACTCGGTGAATGGAAGGCCAAAGCCAAGTTTGAAATGTATCTCATGGACGTACTACAGAATGGAGCTTTTCTTCTCGAGTCTAACTCCAGACACTCGGATATGGATGGTGATGCCTTTGATCCCATGAAAACAGATGTTGCTGAACAATTTTTTAGAACATCCGTTCAGGCACTGTTTGAAGTTCTCGATGATTCGGACGGCGGGTTCCCAGCCGGGTCCCTTGAGTTTGGAAGAGCCATCATTGAGAAGCTCGGCGTATCAGATACTTGCCGGCGGTTTTTAGGCTACATCTTCTATCAGTGGTTCTTTGGCAAATTTGTTCACAGCGCCATGTGCTTCCCTGAGGTTTGTTCTCTACACATACGATGTCTATTTCTTAAAGCTACCCTGTCCTAACATTTTCTATTAGAGCCATGGCCTTCTGCTTGACTTCCATGTCACCAAGGACGCCCGGGAACGGCTCCTTGGACACATTGCTCTCTATGCCCAACGTCAGGTTTCTCATACTCTCCAGTCGCTCCCGCCATTCTCCTACATCATTCCCAAGATCAAGACGCATGTAGACCGTATGCTCTCTAGACTCATCGATCCGGTCACACATACCCCTGATACCATCCCGTTATCCTCCCCTCCGGACTCCAGCTTGGCCCAAAACTCCATGGAACAGAATAATGCAGGATCAGTTATTCTTCTTTCCTCGAGTGATATACTAACCATACTGGATGTCTTCTTCCCCAAGCCCCCCATCTCCGGCTCGCCCGACTTATTTTCCCAGCAAACCTCATTCCCTTCCTCACCAGCATCAACCTTCTTCCCTCGATCGGGCCAACCACATCAGTCTTATGAACCAGGTCTCTTCCAAGGCAGGCTCGACGCCCATTCATATAACCCACCTACCGCCAAAACCATGTTCACCACCGAGATAAGTTTCCAGGATGTCACAAAATCCTACTTTGTACGACCCAGCAAACCGTTAACACCAGAGTCGCCCAAGAACCCCCAGCTCCGCAAGGCGGATCGCATTCGCGATGAGATTTTAGAGATTCGAGAGTCAGAAGATCGACCAACACTGGACCACCCTGCAAACGAGGATTGGGCGATGCTCTCTGTCAGCGGCAGGGAGCAGGTAGGTCTGTATGCAACCGATACCGAACAATCTAGCCATCAGAGCCCTGCCTCTAGAACCGAGCTGCTCCGCAACCAGGACAAAATCGAGGCCGCCGTTGTGAAGATTGTCCACGAGTTTGATTTCCCCAAAAACCAAGCCCTTGGCCAATCGTCAGTATCCCCCACTGCGAATGGTGAACTCAGCCTGAAGAAATGGTTCCTTCATGCGATGGGAATGTGCCAGCGAAAGTCTGACTTTTCTGGTGCCCATTTCTGGTGGGAAGCCTCCCTTGCTTTGCGTGACGCATATGCGGAATTAGGGCAGTCTGTGGCAGACACCAAGTACCTTAGTCCCATGTATCGCTCCGTTACACAATCAGCAGACCTGGACTCGAACATGATTCAACGTTGTGAACAATCATTTATTGACCTTAAGAGAAAGATGGATCTTCTTCAGTCTCAGGTTAATAAGACCATGGGCATCATGGCACAGCTCCGGAACAAAATGTGGTATATGACCGACGTCAAGAACTCGCTCCGCTACGAGGATGCAAAGAATGTGGCTTTGGCCCTGAAAAACATGGCCCTTGCTCAGGCTACACAACCAGCCGCGGAATCCAGATCGAGGGCGGGAGCACGAACTCTCGGTGGATCTTTCCTGCAAAAGCCCGAAATACAGGTCATGAACGTGATGCGAGCTGCAAGAAGCCAAGGAGGCCCCTTCAAGCTGGCCGATGAACAGGTAGAAATTACTCGGAAATGGCTCCAGCGCTTTGGAATAGATAATTTCTGCCGAGGCGAAGAACGAATTCATCGCTTCTGCTATGAGGTGAAAACTAGCGTCAACAAACTCGCTGGTGAGACCATGTACGATACCCCTGTGCTCTGGTCCAGCGAACTTTTCCAGAGAGAACGATCAACATATGATACTCCTGGTACGCGGCCGATGAGCGGGAGTGTGCGTCCGTCAAGCATCGCAAGTGAAGATTCACTAGGGAATCCTATGCAGCCTCCTGCTATACGATCCCTAGATCAATTATTTCGGCCTCCAAACGACCTGCCGATGCCTCCTCTTGTTCGGAAGTCATCCTTCCAGAGTGTTGTTTCCGATAAATGGCAGACCAACGGAAACGCATCTTCTATTAGCGACTCCCCTGGTAAAACTGTATCGACTGCTACTACTGATTCAATTTACCCTTACTGGTCCCCCATACAGACCCAAACTCAGTCTATAACGAGTGCCTCCAGCCTTTAAAATAACCATATCCTTCCCCCGTCCTCCGTACCTCCGTCCAGCATAACATACTATGATATGCCCAATCATCTTGTCTCACTGGCTCATTGTCTCTTATGGGCCCACCAGGCTATTTCTCCACTAACGGGACGACGTCGTACTGCCGCCAGAGGCTCCTGGACCAAGGCGCTTCATGCGAGTCAGGCGAGAACGAAAGGATGAGTTTGAAAAAGAAAAGAAGAAGACAGGAGGAACAGTGAGTCCGGGGACCTCCAGACGAACCAGATCCTACTGACATCACGAGACGGAGGTACTTCGGAAGCACTCCAAACCACTCTCTCACCAAGTATCGTATCTCTGTCAACGGGGAGAAACGCAGCTGCTTGGGCCCCCCGCCTTGGAGATGCACGAGACATTCCGTTACGAAGGCATCTCCCCAACGAACGGTAAAACCCCCCCCCCAAAAAAAAAAAATCCCAATTATTGCTGCTTACCCCGGGACACACTTTCATGCGAGATACAGCCTGCAGTGACGACACTGTATTCCCTCGATTACGAATATGGAGACTGGGAGACTTGAGGAGGCCCATCTTTTTCCATAGATCGCTTCTGCAGCCCTTGGAGTGGTCACTGCAGCTAGGTAAGCCGGAGACGAACCTAAATTGATAAGCAAGGTCAAAACTACGGAGTAGTGTCTCTGCATACTGGCGGCTGCGAGACTTTGACATGGAAAAAAACTATGAAACACGGACACCCCATCTCCTTCCCCCTTGCTTGACCGATCTCTTCATGTTGGGCATTAAACGTACGCATACTCCGTACTCCATATGACTACCCAATCTACGTTCACGGAGATAAATGAGCTAGGGAATTCACGAAGATCACCGTCGATAAAATGGTTGGAGATAGTTTGGCTCCTATGAGACGGATCCCCCCAACTCGCCCTGTTCGAGATGGCCCCTATTCTGTCATACACCTCAGCCTTTACGGAGTAAACATCCGTGGAATCGACCACTGGCCTCAACATCTCGATTATGGTACACGTTGATGCCGATGCACATGCGCCGCTAAATAATGCACCTCATGCTTTCGGTAACTGTCCTTCCTCAAAACGTAAATGTTCATTAATTTAACAGGGGCAAACTGACAGCTTTTTTTTTTTTTTTTTTGCCTCCCGAATTAAACTCCCATACAGCCCAGAAAGAATCAGCCCTTAAACCAGCCCAAAGTAGCTCCACACGCAATGCAAGTCCATCGCAGGAGAGGTAGTGGAGCATGTTTCTTCCTTCCGCCAAAAGATCAAACCCTTCTGACTAACTTACATCCAACCCTTGTAGCGCCTCTATTACTTTCAATTTCTTTTTCTTTCTCTTCTAGTTCAACTATGAGTGGGATTCTCATTTCGTCCTTCAGATGCCCACTCCGTACTTTCGCCTCCACGCCAAGTAGGCCGAAGGGGGGTTTTTGTCTACCTTTCTTTTTCTCCTATATCTTTCTCCTCTACTGACGTATCGAGACCAGATTCCCCCATTGTTTTAAAATGTCAATCGCTACCCAGGCACAAGTCACTTTATTTCAGCTCCCTTTCCTATAATACGCCTCGTTTCCACCCAGGTTTGCTCAATTCTTGTTGGCAAGTGTGGTCTGCATATACGGTCTCCCATAGTAATCCGCCTTACACCTCATTGACGGGGATTATTGCGTTCCCTTCGCCCTTTTTATGGTTTTTTATTCATATTTTTTTTAATTTGCTGTTTTAGCTCGGGCCGTACGCTGTACCTTGCGCTTTTTTTATGCGCCAGCAGTCTATAAACACGCCTCCCAGCCAATGTCCATAGGGAAGCAGATACCCGAGAGAGATCCAAATTTATTCAGGAAACTCCTATCAGCTGTTCTTTTACTTCGTGCTTCAAATTGGCCTTTTCTACGGAAGGCGTGGACCGGAAACAGGTATATACCAACCCCCAAATCTTAGGACGGTTCTGTACTTTGGACCGCAGCAACTGTTGCTCTAACCCCCTTCCCTATCCCGTTTCTAGCCACCGAGCATGTAAGGAGAGGAAAATCAGGGGGTATATTCATGACTCGGGAGGGTAAAACATGGATTTGAGATTTGACGTTGACATGACCAACGGAGCGCTAAAGGGTTCAGCAGTAGAAAAAGTAGTCAGGTTATAGAGGCGTCCGAAGCTACGATGTCGACTGATCCTCGCGTCCACTACGATTCGGTGGTTAGGGCAGGCATGTCCGAAGCCTCTCAGCGCCCTGAAGACACCCCGTTCGATATCTTTGAATGGTACCCACGCTACCAGAGTTGCCAACGCTATTTCCTCGACCACGCCCAACACACGGTTCCTGTACAGGCTCTTTCTTCATTCCTAAACATACATCTCCCATTCCAGAGACAACCCACCCCTATCTTCAATTCCGCGACCGATGCTGCCCTTTCCACCCCACCCGGTGGTCAACCTTCAGGGGCTCCTGTTGCTCCAAGTGTATCTATGGTACCCTATATTCGTCGACTAGTTGCAACAGGCATGGACTACCCGGGAGTTCTACATGGGTTTTTCGGTGACGACTGGGCTTCAGGGATTGGCTCTTTACATGAACAAGAACGCCGCAACTTCTTCTTTGCTGCCAAGAGCGGAGGATGGGCGGCCGTAAAGAAGGACTACGACATTCTGCCCCTCGAGACCATTCCATTCCTCAGGCCATTGCAGGGTTCAGAAAACTCTGAGATTGAAGCCGCGGAGAAGAGCTGGAGTGAGTGGCTAGCTATGGAAGATTGGATGATTGGCCCGCGGTCACCGGATGAAATGGCAGACCGCCAGTCGAACACATACTCGAGACACAGCAGAAGCACGAGGTCTTAAATGACCTGACAAAGTGATAAATCAGACGAAGAAGAAGAGCAAAGTAATAGTTATTGACGACGACGAATGATACCTACGGCAACGATTCTCATATGCATATTTCATAACACCCTCCAGCCGCTTTCCTCCTCCCCTACTAGAAGAAGGGGGAAGGTTTCTATCTTTCTTTTCCTTTCCTTATATTTTCCTTCAGGCGGCAATCTTTGTATACCCTCCGCTCGCTTGTTACATTCACATTCCGGTCTCATTACTATTTTCCCTGTCATGGTTTGGCGTAAGGAGACGACAGATGAAGGTAAAAAAGAGGGACCAGTAGTTTTTTCTGTTTCTTATTTTCGAGGTAAACAAATACTTAGGTATCTATCATCTATCAGGGATTCGATATTTCCATTGCCCTGATATTACTTATTAATGATAAAGCAAGTGCCTTGATCAACTTAAGCCACCTCGTTTTCTAACATTTGACTGCTGCCATCCGTAATCTAATTGGTCAATCAAGTGGTCAATTGAGTCAATTCTAGAGATAGGTTAGGTTCAGTACGAGGTACATTCCTCAGATCATAGGTGTGCTATGGAATGGCAAATGAGGGAGGCAAATGTGTTAGGAATGCCTTGCAGCTATACTCGCCCGGGTTCACTTGCACATGCACCACGACCCCGCTAGCGTTATCCTCGAGACCGACGATGATTTATCCACGGGTGAGACTTATAGCAATAGCTATGGCAAATGATTTCGTCGCCTACTACTAAAATGGGGTCACTGGGCCCGAAGACGCTATTGCAAACGCCCTTGTTGCGATACCCATGTGGTCGTGGCAAATTATTTCGTGGTGCTAGTTCGATATGTCCAGCTACTGCATGGAATCCGAGGTGTGACGCAAGCGTGTAATACATGATCCGAAGATTCTAGAATACCAACGTTCAGCCACAGCACAGAGCAGTCGCAAAACTGCCTGTATCTCGCCTCTGGCGCCTGTTCTTCAACGCCCTCGTCCTCCCCCCAGAGACGCACTTTCGAAGCTGGTCGTTGAACTTGTGGCGCAGCAGGCATAACCACGTGGGCATCATGTGATAAACGAAAACACCGTGGGTTATATAAGCCGGAACAAGCATATTCACGTGACTTTACATCACGTGCATGTTTCCTTCCAAGGTTGCGCATCCGCCATCACAACGATCATGATGGGGCAAACGTTGGCATTAACTGCGAAATGCATTATAAGGCATAGATAGAATTTTAGAGACCTGATAGAAAAGTCTACCTCTTCCTGCTACTAGCCATGGGTGACGGGAGCGATAAAATGAAGAAAGGAATGGATTACGTCATTCACTGATTAGTTATGTAATAATATATCGCTTATATAATCTTCATTGCAACAACCTCCAGCTTTGGGGAATAAAAGGAACATAAGACTACGTCGGGTCGACAACCATCTACGAGAAGCCTCATATTCTTAACCACCCAGCTTAGTGCTGGTACAAGTATCTGGTCTTGTTATATTAAGCTTATCAAACGCTTCTGTATGCTACAAGTATATATATATACATACCCTTGGCCTATTGCTATTCTTTTCATGCTTAACGGAATGAAATACTGGTTCCCTTCGCAGTGGCCTCTGTTCCCCGAAGAAATTTGATACCTACAGTATGGTCTCACTGTTGAAACGGCTGTCTGGATCTTCACGACCAGAATGGCAGAAATTTTTGCGCCAATGCCTTCTCCAAAGAATCAGCACGGATGAGTTTTACAACCTAGCCAAAGTGATGCTACGCCGCCACCCTATTTCACATATGGATCTTTTTGATGTTATCCTAGAATCGAGGGCAGTCACGGATTTTGACTGGGACCCATTAATACCAGACTATGTGGATGCCGTCCAAAAGCTAACACAGGTCGAGCTATTTAATATTTTGCCCTCTCTCCTAGCTCACTCGAGCATCAAGTCCGATATTCAGCGCTGGAAGAAACAAAATCAAGCACAAAACCAAGATACGGACCAAAATGTTGACGAGCAAGGGCCTACGGAGCCTGCGGACTCTAAAGGGCCCGCCACTCTATTAACCGATTATGGCATCATACAAAATGTGATTACCGCTGTGACCACTGGCCATGCTCCAAAGATAGCTCTTGAGTTCATGGATACTTGTTCTGCTATAGCCGACTGGATTTTAGCCCTAGTGTCGTGGAATGCTCATCTGGGGTCAGAAAAGGGTGAGGGCAGTGGAACACAGTTGTTAGCCTCTCCTGATGTGGTCTCCATATTCATAGCTGTCGGTTTTCTTTTCGGAGCCTTAGCAGGAACGGAAGTGGGTGCAAACGCACTATCATTTCAACACTCAGGAAGTAAGTTCTTAAGGGGGTTCAACTTGCAACTCAACTCATATCCCTGAAAACGAATTGTGTCGTGGCGTCCTCAGTTTCTAATGACAGTATAAGCATTTAAACACCAGCGAATGAAGCTGGCCCGAGCCTTGACAGCATACTCTCCTATATGTGCTGAGATATCCATTCCCTTACGAAACAGGCTTGATCAATTGCAGAAGGAATTTAGCCTTTTCCTGAAAGGTGAAAAATCAAATCAAGATCATGTTATAGAGGATACCGCTGTTTCCACCTTGGAGTTTGAATCTAGAGTTGTGGACATTCCTCCAGTAAGCTCTAGGGCTGGGTTGTATATATATATCAACTCTCTGGTATGTTGTATACTTGGGCCACGAATTCTCCTCAACTATACTAAACAACATGCTATAGCTCGTAGGGCGACCTTTGATAGATGATAATCTTCTTATTAATTATCTGAATAATCGCTACGGGGTAAGTCTATTATCTAGCATTATCTCAACCACACACTTACATATATCATAGGGGAACCACATGGCACTTGTTGAAGAGCTTATCACAGCGTCATTTGATGTTCTATCAAATGGAATGTACCGCAACGAGCCACAGCAATCGATGTTTCTCTTCCGGGCATTTCTCGTCAACAAACTCCCTTCGTTCCTGTCAGACCTAGCAGGATCGGTGGTAGAACCAATACCAGTTGAACTATGTATCACTCGTGCTTTAGCGCGGGTAGACCCAAACACGTTCCCATCATTTTCAGAAATATTCTCTACCCATGGTAATTCGGTTTTGTCTGACGTGAGACAAGAGTTTCTTTTCTCGTGTGCCTTGCATAAATTAATACCCGAGTCAAGCATTGAACGCCTTTTGGGAGAGAACCCAATGCAAACATTGCCGAATGGGGGAAGATTTGTCAAACACGATCTAGTTGCTCAGATAAACAATAGCCATGAAAGGGCAGAGCAATTGCTGAATGGTGTCGAGTCAATGGACGGCAACGCAAGGGCAATTGTTGAGGCTATAGCGGAGGTATGGGCTTTCCATAGAACCAAGATTCTCCAAAGCACTAACATGGATAACATGGACAACGTAGGTGATGCATAATATGTGTTTGAGAAAGGATACCATGACATTGAAGGGTTTATGCAATTCCTTGTCGCGTAGACCGCAGACACTGGACATCATGCTACTCTTTAAGAGCCCACAGGCTATATTGCAACCTCTTTGTGCCTTGCTGGACTCCTGGAAGTGGGAGGAAGATCAAGGTAATACTTAAATCTGAACTTGACTGAATGAACCGTTATTAACAACACGCAGGGGAAAGCCAGCCTGTCTACGATGAATTTGGAAGTGTTCTTCTCCTGGTTCTTGCTTTCAGGTATAAATATGATCTGAGTTATCAAGACCTTGGGATTTTCAACCCGGATTCATTTATGTGCCGATTACTCGAGAAAGGTTCATCAAGTCAAAAGCTGGAGGATTTGACGGAGAAACAACAGCAGAACCTTGGAGCGTGGATTACAGCACTATTTATCGCTGAAGGAATTAGTGATGAATCCATGTCCTCTTGTAGCCCGCAAGAATTTTATCTTCTAGTTGCTACACTATTCTGCCAGAGCTTGAGTGCGTGTGAAGCCGGAAAGCTGGAGTTTGAAACGCTCAAGGGTGGATTCGAGTGTAAGTCAATCTTTCTGCTCTACCTTGGACTAGGTTACTTGAAGTGCATTGGATTAACAACCTAGAAGACCTATTAGAGCCTTTCCTGCTACCCTCGCTGGTGATGGCCCTATCGTGGATGGGCAAACATATTTGGAAGTCTGGCACCGACCTCACTACTACCCTAAAACTTCTAGCCACCCTTGTAAAGCCTACTTCTATATCTGGAGAGGCTCAGGAAATCCATCGTACAGTACTGTCCATCACGGCACGGGAACTTGCCGATGAACTGAGAACTGCAAAGGCCCGTCACCCTTTGAGAACAGACATTGAACCCATCCTTCAAGCACTTGAACCGTATCAGTCCTTTCAGCGGACGGGCACTTCTAGCCGTTCCGAATTGGAAGGATGGAGATCCAGCTCTGCCCCTGGTGGAATGGTCACTGGGATTCGAAACACATTCTCGTCACTGGTACTCTGGAGCACAGATCCTGAGATTAGTATGACTCCCCCAAGCTATACCCATAGGCAACTATTAGCTGGATTGAAACATCTAGGTTCTGTCCGAATTCTAGCGGGGATACTCGAAGAACTTAAGTTGCAGAGTGAAACCGGGAGTGGTGACCTGGCCATTGATATCGCGGCAACTTTGATATGTGCTCCGATGCGTGAGTGTTTCTCATTGGAACAAGCAGCGTATCAATCAGTGGGTGGTTCTTTAAAGGATTCATTGCCCCACCGCCAAATGCTCAATCTCAGATATGCACTTAACCTTCAGAGAGAGTCTCTCTCCAAGGTGATAGAATATGAACCTCACCGAGCTGAGCTCATTGTTCGGCTGGCTAGACGTGTTGATACCCTCACTTCTATTCCGCAAATACCCCAGGGAGTTGAAAATATTGACGTTGGTAATATCATGGCAAATATGGACCTTACGGGCGTCGAAGAAGATAGACAGATGCAAATAGACGTAGCTCAGCAGGCGGAGCAGCAAGACCAACAGCACCAAAATCTCACCGCTACCGGAACCGATGCGACTCCTGGCACTATAGATGCAATTCTGGATGCAGCTACGGCAGAAGGGGTGACTGCACCACCCGCTGGTACCGAAGTAACTATGGCCCAGTCAGATATGGATGCAAGTATTTTTGACGACATGTTAAATCCTACAGATATGGGTGTTGGGAACCCAGAGTTCATTGATTTGGACATGGAGGGGATGTTTTAGCACGCTGGAAACCATTCTCAGTAGGTGCATTGTAATGAAACAGAGACAATTTAGGGTATATTCCAAATACATCTCAAAAACAGCCTGTATAACTGATCAACAAACGCCCACAGTAGTTACAATACGCATCGGACCTCAAATAATATGTTTGCTTTTACCATGGAGATGAATCAACTGCCCTTTCTAGAAATACGACGGGTTGATGGCAAGAATAGTTCTTTATGGCCATATCAGCTAATTATTTATCATAAACTACGGTAGCACCATCATCTGCAGGCTCTAGCACCTTCCAATTACATCGGACATTGTTGGCCTCGAACTTCTTTATTATTCTTTCAGCGATTTGCGTGAAATTTTCTGTCGCAAGAGCCAATATCGTTGGACCTGCCCCTGAAAGGCAAATGCCAAGCAGGCCCGGTTGGTTGGTTGGATTCATTGAACTTAGGATTTCAGTCAATCCAGGCACCAAATGCTTACGATAAGGCTGGTGCACCTTATCTTGCATCGCAAGATAGATCATGTCAGGATCAAGGGGAGATTGACCCAGTGCTGAAGGAAGTAGGGTTGCACGCTGGAGGTTGTATATCTAAATGTAGAATCCATATTAGCGCCGATCTTCCAGAAGCGGGAAATGTAAAAAGAGAGGACTTACCACGTCAGCTCTCGAGTATGTTTGTGGGAGGACCTCTCTTGCTTTTGCAGTGGGAAGTTCAAATTCGGGTATGATAGTAATAGCTTTAATTTCCTTTGCCCAGGGAAATTTCTTGTAGTGGCCGATTCCAACTGGCGGCTCAGGTGGTTTGATGCCAGTATCTACTCCACCAGCGGGGGCGGGAAGCACTTCGCTAAGGGGGATTTCCTTCCACGCTAAATCTTCAGGCCTTAGTTCGTTTAGATATGTGCCAACAAAGCCACCATACAGAGCAGCAGCAACATTATCGGGATGGCGCTCTACGAAAAACAAGCTGAATTAGCATCAACAAGTGGAGAGAGAGGATCGGAAAACGCAGAGCTGCCCTCACCTATCATGAGACAATAGTCTAGCATTCTGGCCTTATTGAGGCCTAGCTTTCCGACCTCATTGCCCAGGACGACACCTGCAGTCACCGCAGCACCGCTGGATCCCAATCCACGTCCCAATGGGATCGGGTTTTTTATGTGTACGTGACACTCGACGGGAAATGCATGGTGATTGTGGCACCGGAGCACGTAAAGTGCCACTCTGGTAATTAAATTTACTTCAGGGTCAAGACTGACTTCATCGGGGTTCTCTCCTTCATATGTTATTCCGCAATTTAATCGAAGGCTGGAAGATGAAGACGAGCTGGGGGCCTTCACCGTGACATGCAGCTCAAGGAATATAGATAGTGCCAAGCCTAGCATGGTATATCGTTAGCCCATGCCATCTGGGGTTTATGCTTGTCTGGGGATGATCCTGGCCTTCGATGAGACCTTCACCGGGTTAAAATGCCTGGCAGTAGTGATACTCGAGGATAGGAGATTTATTGAACCCAGATTGACCGGAACTCACCAATGACATCGAATCCAGGGCCGATATTGGCGGATGAGCAAGGCACCCTGATTGTAAAGGAAGCCATTTTTCCCTGTTTTTTAAATCATGTGTTTCCCGAAAGAAGGAAGTGATGAATCTCCTTCTGCTCGCTCCAGGCTATCAGACTATCAGTACCACGCCCAATGCCAACACCTTCTGCTCTGTCGGTCTTCTGCTTTGCTTCTTCCTCGCCGTCTTTGTCTTTCTGGCTCTTTTTCCTGCTGTGTTATTTTCTCCCGCTGGCGTTATCTCCGATATCACGTGTCATCTGATCTTATCTATGGTGACAAAGCAACAAAGCCCTAAAAAGCGTCCGCTTCCGGAAGCGGCTCTCGGCCCCTGAATGTACTTTTGCTGCTGCTTCTTCTTCTTTTCGCTCGCCTTGTTTTTCTCTGTTCATCTTCCATCATTCTATGGAGCACTCTATGGGTTCGATGGACTCAATGTGGCGCCGGAGCTGCGGGAATATATAGGCGCCATATTGACCGTTATTAAGATTATGTGGTGGTGAGCACTGGTGTAACTCAACCGCCGGCCACTTCAGGCAATCGATCATGCATTCAGCTCGTCCAGGCGATAATTCGGTACCATCAGCTTGGGAAGCCAACGCTCTCCTTTCTTTCTGCAGCCGCCTGCGGTTAGTATAAATAGTCCTCCCTAGGAGATGGTTAGGGCCGATAGACGGGGCGGACAGATCTCTGTCATGTTGCTCAAACCCCCCCCCCCCCCCCCTCTTTCAGCCCCTTTTACCATGACTATTCCGGACGAGATACTCCGTACTCCGTACTCCGTACTCCAGAGCATTAGCCAGGGTCATTCCTGGACAGCATGTCCCACTCTTCTTCACCTTTTTCGTCCCTTCTCCGGGGCATGCTTAGGGATAATAGTAACCTTACAGAGTATACTCCGTCGCCCGTACCTCCGTCGGTGATCGTCTCTATGAGACCATGGCATGGTTTTGTTGGAGTATGCAACAAAACAAAGGCGGAATCGGCAACGCTTGAGGGCGGAATAAAACTGGGCTCTTCTATCCCGAAGAGGTAGTTAGGTGCGCAAAGGTTGACTGCCTTGAGCCCGGCAACTTGCTTAGCGGGCCTTGAGCGTGCATAACACGGGTCAGGCCCTTTGTGCTCTGCACATGGTGACAACCCGCCTCATCGGCCAAAGAGGAAAACGAAAACCTGTGACCGGAAAGTACAGATACAAGCATGAAAACTCCATATATAAATATGATATCGCCTGGGTGTTAGTTAGGCGACCTCCATTTCTTTCACTTGGAATGCACAATTACGATATGGTCCCGAGTGCAACCCCCTGCTGCAGCTGTAGTTGGTACACCATTCCGGATATAAAAATTCACAGCTAGACTTGATTTGGCGACGGAGAAGTCGCTACCAGCAGATTATCCCCACATGGTTCATGCCTGGGCGCAAAGGCAAAGGGCTAGCCAAGGGCCTGAGCATCCGGTATGGTGTTTGCCTGTCCTCGAACCGGTACGGAGTACTCCGTACCCAGAGAAGATCATGAGAATGGCAAGAATAATAGAGTAGTATTCAAGGTACTGTTGAAGGCAAAATCAGGGGCGGGAAAGGAGAACATCAAATATAAAAAGCTGCCTGGCACAATCGCTTGCAAGCCTCCTTTTTTCCTCATTAATCTCCGGAGTTATAGCACTTGTTTCACCATCGAGAAGACACGAGTTATTAGGAAGAAGGGCCCATATGAAGTCATACGGTTAATATGCGATATATGATCTGGGATATGACCAGTCGAGTGGGAATCTGAGGTTCTGCGAACACACGCCCATACAAAAGAGTACCACGTATGCTGTGCTTTGGCCGTTGGCTGGCCAGGCAAAGGAAAGAGGCATGCACGACGCACAGCCAAGGGATAAGAAGTTTGGACATCATCCAGTGCACAGGGCGAGGCGGAAAGTCATGATTGATGCATACGAGCCGGGTGGATGCACTCCGAAACGTATAACCGTGTCTCTGGGTTAAACCACTCTGTGTCCTATAACTTCTGGAGGTTAAAGATAACATATAAAAAAAATGTTACGCAGTCTGGAATCCACTTTCACTTCGAAGGCTAGGTGAATGGCACTGAATCAATCTCTAAAACTAGGGATTACCCAACAAGTTGAAGAAAAAAAAAAAAAAGAAGAAGAAGAAAAACCCGCTTCGAGGCGTACTTTGGGTTCAGCACGAGCTTTTCTCGCCGCTTTCTGTTGATTGCGTTCAGTTCAACCAGAGCTTGGCTGAGATGCACGGAGTATCCATTGTCCCTGTAAGAGATTCATTTGATCGGATCCCTTGATTTCGTTGTGTGCATTGCGGTTGTACGGAAGAACTCCGTACACGTTGTGCGTGAGAGGATGGCGCCCTTCGATGTACTATGAATAAATTGTGTGCTGGTTGTGGGCTTGAGAGGCGTTGTGTCTAATGAATCGCCTCCGCTCTTCACTGAGGGTCACCAAGCGTAGCTTAGTTACAAAGACCATCACCAAACCTCGAGCGCTGGAGGCGATTTTTTTTTTTAATACGCCAATCAGAGAGTGCAGGCTTGTCGTACGGGCTCCTTTGCTTTCCAAGCCAAAACGAAGCCACTCGTTGATCACTAGGGGTGACAGCGGAAAATGCCTTTTTGTCAACACCAAGGCGCCATCACGGTGGTAACGGGCTGTTTTGAGAGACTGATGATTTTTTGACTTCCGAACCTCCTTTATCATGGGAAGAAAGAGAGCGAGGAAGAGGTCCTCCTCCGAGGATTTGAGGTTGACACGTCGGACGGAAGGGAATCAGAAGGGCAAATCTGACTGCTCTGAAAAGTACCTCCAAGGACAAAGCGGAGGACATGTGAACTCAGCGCGGCGGAGGCTGATGACATAGCTTATTAAAGGCAGCTATAAAACATGCATAAATCACGGTTGTGCATGGTTGCTTTTTTCAAGGTTGGGGAAATAGGAGAGCAAGCAGCAATCATGGCGATGATCGTTTCTTCCCTGTCTTGCCTGGCTCCACGAGTGATAGTGACACTCTTGGAGAACGTGTGATTCTTCTTCACCGTTAGCATCGTATCAGACATCATGTTCACGGGTAGGACGCCTTCCAGGGCTAATAGTTTTGTTTTGCTGTGTTTTTGTGTTGTTGATGTTGACGTTCTTCTGCAGCCCCTCTGCATACCGCCTCGTCCTTTTTTCTTATTTTTAAATGAAGACTGAAGTGAACCGTTCCGTTTAACTTCATGCCCGCGCGTTTCCGCCGGAGTGCTCGGTAACTCTGTATCCCGGGTTGATGTGCTGCATGCTTGTTGCGCGGACGAGGTTTGTAAAGAGGAGCAGAGGATCCAGCAGCAGCAGCAGCAGCAGCAGCAATAACAACAACAACAACTGGCGGGCTTGTTGGCACGACTCTTTGGACATGGCCCGCAATCCATCGAAATGAGCCAGAAAGTGATTTCACCATGCAATGGAGATCTCCACCACAGAACTCTGTTCGTACCAACTTAGTGCTTGCATTTCTAGCTGTGAGGAAGAAGCAGGCTAGTTAAGTAGCTTAACTAGTAAGCCCCTCGAGTAATCCAGCACGTTGTTGCCTATGGCTTATGGCTTCACCAGGTTGGGGAGCATCAAAAATGGCCGTGAGGAATTTGTTCTTCTTGCGTAACGAAGGAGCACTCTTCGAGAAAGAACAGGCAACACAATAATAACAACAACAATTAGGAATAATAATTGCGAAATAATACACAGGATATTTCTTGTACAACCGAGACATCCTCCGTACACGGCCAATTCAGGCGATTGAGCCGGAAGGTAGTCGGAAGGTGGACTTGATCCACACTCGGTTCACAGGGAACCCCTGTAAAGAACCGATAGAAGCAGCAAGGTAAAAGACAACCCAATCCCCTGGCCAGCATTTCGGCAAAAACCAACTAGCAATTGGTGTGTGAGGAGGCTTTTGTTCTGCAGTCGGCGTCTTGGCCTGGCCCGGGGGCAAGGACGTGATACGCTGATGCTCGCTCTGGATACATCTCGACCGCCTATCATAAGCACTATATCGGCCATACAATTTTTTTTTTTTTTTTTTTTCGTACTGAGTACACAAGCGGTAAGTATACACATATCGTGCACAGCGCCCGTTCTCTTGTAAAAAAGTACTTTTTGACCTTCAGGGTTTCCATCGCCCATGATTTGCTTAAATAGTCACAAATTTTCATGTAGCCTAGCCCTCTTCGTGGACCGCAGGACGGCGATAGTCTGTATTTCATTTCTCTCCTTCTGGGGTCTCGTCTCGTGGGCAACCTGCCAGAGCGTTAAGGGTAGATTTGAAAGTCGGCTGGGCATCGTCTCGGTCGGCGCTCCCCCTTTCTCTCTCCCCCGTCTTCTCCTTTTTCCGCCTTCCGCACAGCACGTGCAGAAGAGTAAGGGGAATATGGGGTGTTGCCGCGCGCAGTGGGTATAAAGTTGGAAAAAGCTCTGCTCGCTCCCAATGCGCTAGAGGGCGCGTGCCCACACACAGGAAGTGTCTGCAAAAAAAAAAAAAAAAAAAAAAAATTTAGAGAAAGACGCAGAGCGGTTTGCTCTCCACTCCCCGTATGCAGAGGAGGGAACAAGCAAAACGGTCATGGTCAGGGATTTGGAGCTGGCCAAGACAGCGCTTTATGCAGGCGACATGGTTGTGCGTCGAATGTGGCGAAAAGGATTGGACAATTAGGACGTCGAATATCCACCAGGATGTGAAGGATGTTTTCCTAGAGGATGTTCGAAGAGCTGTCAAAAGTGCCGGCCTTCACAAACGTTGGACTCTTTTCTTCTCCTTCTTTGCTTTTGCCTCCCCCCCCCCTCCTCTTAGCGCATCCCGCTGGGAAGGAAAGGGAAGGGGAAAAAAGGACATCGAGGAATGTCCCTTTTCTTTTTCTGGCTTGATTTTCCTTTTGATTTTCGAGTCTCTTTGGCATTAGCATATATAATATTTCTCGTATTGATTACTATGACTTTCAAAATTTACGGCAAATCCACACAAGGTCCAGGGCGGGCTGTCCATACTAACCTAGTGAAGTAAGACCTCCCGGGCCCCCCGTTGCTCCCAGCTAATGAGCGGCCCCATTGAGCTTCCATCAAGGGTACATGGAACAGAGACCAGGGCAAAAAAACTGGAGGGAGAGACAGTCTGCTTGTTGTGACTCCAGAGGGTAGACTGCACATGGTGTCCAGCGTCCTGGGACCGGGAGGTTTCCTTTCTGACACATACACACGCACGCATACTCCCTCCCTGTCTCCCTCTCCTCCTCCCTCTCCTTTCCCATTATTTTCCAATCTCCATCATCTTCTCCTCTGTCTTCACCTCTATACCTACTCCATATAGAGGCAGGACCAATTTGATATCACTGGCGCTGCTGGGACCTCGACTGAAGCTTCTTTTTTGCTTGCATAGCTTGCCCCCATCTGTCCGTCCACCTTTCCTGTTCCTGGGACCCTCTTTGCATCGTTAACGCTCTCTTCCTGAAACAGCTCGCTATCCGGCTTCCGTAGCCCTGGGGTCCAAGTTGGAGCCTTTGGTGGAGAGAGTGACGATAGACGGCCGTTCAAGTCTCCTGAGGATCAACGCGAGCTGTTGTGACGTTTTCCATCAAGTTAACCTGATCAGGGACGACCCCCGAGGGACAGTTGGAGTATAGAGAGAGAGAGAGAGAGAGAGAGAGCACTGCCTCGCTGGAGTCCTGGACCGACTGGCTGGCTAGACTCCCTTTTCCCATTGATTCATTATTGATTATTACCATCACTATCCTCCGGCTGCTCGCGGGCGTGCCTCCCGGAGCCGAAGAGCAGGCAAAAACAGGCGCCAGGCGGATGCTGGCTGTCCTCTAGAAACAAAACAACATCCTCCAGCACATCCTCTTCTGTGGGAAACACACAAGAAGCACAAAGACACAGAGCTCCTTGCAGGCCTGCAAAGTTCGTGGTGAGTCGTTGGTTTCTTCCACTTCCAGCATACACAAGCAAGAAACAGCCCTTCACGGGGTCACATGTCAGCCCTCCGCGGGTTCGCCACCAGCTAGCCAGTTGACCAGGTTTTTTTTGTTGACTGTTCATATTTTCTGCATTGCCTCCGGAGCAGACGCAGGACGGCCGTGGTCTTATAAGCCACGCATTAGCACGCCAGCGCCGGCCGAGGACCGCAGACCGCAGACCGGCAACCCGCGAGCGCAGGCGACGGATCTATGTTGAGGACGGCGGCCGACTATCGAGCCAGAGGGAGCTGTTGATCGCAACCAACCACGCCGGAGCTTGGCCTCGATCTCGCGCTATTGGGATCTCGAACCGCCCGCGAAGCACGCAGGAGCAGGAGACGAAGGCGGGAGAAGCAGACGATCTGACAGCTAGCGGGCTTCTCGTCTTGCTCTTCTCCTTCTGGCTGCCCATTGTTCTATAGCGCTGCGTGGATCATGGAATCGAATGCCGAATATGTGGCACCCCTGAACCTCAGCACCGCCGCTACTACAACCGCTATTACTACTACTACTACTACTACTACTACTACTACTACTACTACTACTACTACCGATACTACGACGACCAGCCCTATTTCTACTACCCCGGACGATGCAGGATCACTGGCCGTGGCGACCAACAACAGACTCATAACTGCGTTGAATGCTCAGCTACGGATGACGCCGCCGCTGACGCCGCATAGCTCCCGTGAAGAGATGGTCGACCGAAGCGGCCAGGGACGGTCACTGTTCCATAACTACCTGAGAGCCTTCTACCCGTTCCATCCAGACGGACCGATCTCCTCGTCGACCGTGACTCTACCGCTGGACCAGGGAGACGTCATCCTCGTCCACTCAGTGCATACCAACGGCTGGGCTGATGGTACTTTGCTAGAGACTGGCGCCAGGGGATGGCTGCCAACCAACTACTGCGAGGCCTACGACCCTCAGCAGATGCATCCGCTGCTCAAGGCCCTGATGGACTTCTGGGACGTCATCAGGGGAGGCAGCGGGTCTACTCTCCATCAGTTCTCAAACCAGGACTACATGCGAGGCATGATTGCTGGTGTCCGGTTTCTCTTGGTAGGCCTTTTTATGTTTTGCCCTCGTAACTCCGGATAATATATATATCTTTTTTTGCTTACTGGTTATATATAGGAGAAATCAGAATGCCTGACAAGAGACTGCCGGCTCGTGAAGAGAGTCGACGGACTACGGCGGAACCGCAAAGCTCTTCTCTCGGATCTATCATCACTCGTCAAGCTAGCGAAGCAATTGCAGGACATCGCAAACGGACGGCACTTTGAGACATGTCTGGACAATATATTCGATCTGATGCTGCTCAAGGCGTTCCGCATAGTCACCAGAGGAGTTCGGTTTTTGGACGTTTGGAGTGAAGAAATTGGGCTTGTAAGGGCACTGGATCATCTAGACAACACAAACTCGCCGAATACAATGGACACCATGTTCAAGGGGCCTCTCACTCCACCAGTCGATGGTTCCTTCAGCTTCTCGTCTCAACGCGCAACTAGCTCCATCGGCACACCAACCTCCTCCAGCAGCTGGAGAGGCAGCCTCAGTGACCGCAGCTTGCTCAACTCCACGACGATAGTCAGCCAGAAATCTGGCCGTGAAACACCACAACGTCCCGCATCGATCAGAATAAAACGTCCCTCGCTATTCTCACAGATATCATACAGCGGTCACACCACTAAGAACCCGAACCTGCTTCAGGACGGTTAACTGCTGCCCATGACGGATTCCTCGGTGTCCTTGGATCATTTATTGGCCTGCATCTCCAGTCACCCTCGTCAACAGAATTGATAATCACAACACAAGAGGCTGTTCAGTCCTGTAAAACCCTGCTATCGGTCGTCGAAGAGGTGTGGGAGCGCGATCTGCACCGATCTTTCTTGCTGGAAAGATCAAAGAATACCATGTACGACCGCATCGCCGAGCTCGTCAACGCTACCCAGAACACATTCCGCACCCCTATTAATCCTGACGATGAGACGATTTTTGTTCCGGGAGATGGAAAACGCCTGGTAGATGCCGCTACCGACTGTGTGCGTGGCGCCGGAGATTGTGTCTCTAGAGCCAGAACAGTCTTGGAGCAGATTGGAGACTTCGAGCTGGATAACATCGGCCTGGGGATTACTATGCCCAGCACGGAGGATATCATAACACCAACCAACCACAAAGTATTACCGGAAAAGACCGACGAAGTCGCCTCAGCCACAGTTACAAAGGTAGACGATGAACTGTCTATGCGGCCTCTGCCACTCCAGATTCCCGACTGCTCCGTTTCATCCATATCCCTGACACCATCATCCTTCACTGACGCTTCGACTCTCCGTACCCCAACCTCCCCCTTTGATGAATCTTTCAGCTCCGCCTTCGCCGCATTCACTGATTTCAGTGATCCATTCAATCCAAATTCCGAGCACGGCCTCTCTAAATCATTCCATACATACTCGCCTACCAAATCTACCAACGATGTGCCTTGGCAGCAGGACCCAGCCATCTACATACCGCTTCCCCAGGACAACGACATGGACCTTACACTCGAGCCAACTGAAACTGAAAGTACACTGGTTCCCGAAACGCCTACGCGTCCAGCATCGCGTGCCAGCGTCACCCATAAGTCTCCCAAGTCCCCTAAATCCCCCATGAAGGAAGACTCTCAAACAGAAGTAGGGTCAACTTCATCCGATGGAGATGAGGACAGCCTGTTAGAGAAGACTTACGCCCACGAGCTCATGTTCAAGGATGGCCAGGTGACTGGTGGCAGCCTCCGCGCTCTGGTTGAGAAGTTAACATGTCATGAATCGACGCCCGACGCACTCTTCGTTTCAACATTCTATCTCACATTCCGACATTTCACCACCCCGGTTGAGTTTGCTGAAGTCTTGATCGACCGCTACGACTACATCGGTGAGACCCCCAGAGCTGGAGGACCCGTCCGCCTCCGCGTATACAACGTCTTCAAGGGGTGGCTAGAGGCCCATTGGAGACACGATGTTGATGATATCGCTCTGCCAACGATCCTTAATTTCGCCAGGACTAAACTCCTAATCACGTTACCTACCGCTGGTAAGCGCTTGATTGATTTGGTCGAAAAGGTTTCCTCCCTACAGGGGCCTGTGGTCCCACGTCTGATCTCCACCGTTGGAAAGACAAATACCTCCATAGCTCAATATGTCAGCCCAGACCAGCCCCTCCCTCAGCCCAATATGACTAAGAGCCAGCTCAACCTCTTGAAGCAGTGGAAGAATGGTGGCGCCAACGTCAGTATCCTCGACTTCGACCCCCTTGAAATTGCCCGCCAAATCACGATCAAGGAATCTCAGATTTTCTGCTCTATTCTCCCGGAAGAGCTTCTCTCCACCGAATGGATGAAGAAGACCGGCTCCTTGGCCGTCAATGTTCGGGCAATGTCTACTCTATCTACAGACATTGCCAATCTGGTCGCCGACTCTATCTTGCAATTGGAAGAGCCCAAGAAGCGAGCAGTGATTGTCAAGCGATGGGTCAAGATTGCCGCCAAGTGCCTTGAGCTGAACAACTATGACACCCTTATGGCCATCATCTGCTCTCTTAATTCATCCACCATTTCTCGCCTCAAGCGTACATGGGAGATTGTTCCCGCCAAAACGAGGAACCTTTTGGAAAACCTCCGGGAGATTGTCGACGTGTCCCGCAACTACGCAGTCCTCCGACAACGACTACAAAACCACGTACCACCATGCCTACCATTTGTCGGAACCTACCTCACGGACCTGACCTTCGTCGATCATGGCAACCAAGATACCCGTACTCTTGCTGGCGATGAGAGCTCCATAGAAGTCATCAATTTCGACAAGCATATGAAGACCGCCAAAATCATCAGTGAGCTCCAGCGATTCCAGATCCCTTATCGACTTCGCGAGGTCCCAGAACTCCAGACATGGATACAGGACCAGCTTGTCCGTGTTCGATCTGCCGGCGACAAAAGCTTCCAGCAATACTACCGTCGATCTCTCGTTTTGGAGCCCAGGGAGCGTGCAGTTACGCCCCGTGGATCTCCAACCGAACCCAGTCCCTCCCTGTTCGCTAAGGAGAATACGAAGGAAAAGTTCGACTTCTTAGCCTGGACTCATGGCTCCAAACTCAAAGTTCCAGCTGCGTGATGATGATACCTTTTGTGTTTAACTCCCATCTTCAACATCTTATGCCGTACCCCCTGGATCTACTCCCGACCTTCCCCCTTCAACTTATGCTTTATGATTTTATGACCTTCATGATAGTACCTTTCCTCTGGCTCGACTCTCCCTCTCCCTCCATTTCTCTGCCGCCGCCGTACAAAGATCTCTTCCCATTCTTCTTCATACGGACATACTGTTTCTTCACTTACAGGAGGCTTTCCTTTATCCGCCTTTTTATTGTTGCTTTTTAACCTGATATCCCATACTTAGTTGTCAATACGTTTATGTTTTTTCCTGCAAATTCAACTGTTTATTTAAGCAATTTGCTCCACCTGTTTGTTATATACTTATGTTATATAGACCTGAAGGTGGTGGAAATACCCCGTTGGGCGGCTGCTTGTTTTTTTTCCTTATGGCTTGTTCGTTTTCCACACCCATGGCATCTAGGTTGTTTTTTGTTTTATGTCTTGATGCGTCCTGTCATTGGTGCGTTTATCTACATGAGGAAGCACGCGAGTGTGGTTTTCAAAATGGTGAGGTGGAACGGACCAGGGCATGTATACCCATTTCCTTACTTTTCAGCTTCTTTGTGGGTCAGGGGGGAAGGCAGGAGACTATTTACAAAAAGGCAGATTTAATGTTTAGTACTTATTCGATTCTCATCAAGGGCCCTGTGCATCCGTGTAAATCTTTCGCTTCCTTTTCCTTTGTCGCTCTGTCTCGAGAGGCGCCCGCCGAAAGCCCCCCTCCCCCCCCCCCCTTTTTTTTTTTTTTTTTTTTTTTGCAAACTAAACGATTTGCAGTACGTAATTTCCTCAGCATTGTAAAACAAACCGTGGCTGATATGCGAGGATGGGGCTTTTTCCTTCGGGCATGTGCCGACAGCGAGTTGTACATGTGTCCGGCAGTGATATTATACCTCTGCATCTTAAGGCTCCGCAGGCCAACGTCGTTCGAGTCGGTCAAGATCGCGCTAAAGATTAGCCGGCTGCAGCTGCCACAGCTGCAAGATGCAGGGCAAGCGACGTCCCTGGCATTCCCCTGCCACCGCCCCCATGTACGACCAGGCCACCCTCTGCATCTTGCACCGCATGTTGCATGGCTTGTTCCCTGCTTGTCCCCGGCTCGCGCTCATGGCGGAATCCGCGGGATACTTAATCACATGACCAATCAAAGCTGCAGCTTCACATTCATTTGCATCTGGGCGGTTAAGGGGATAGATATGGCAAGGCGACTGTGTGATGGCTCAGGGATGCGTGCAGCAACGGCCAGAAATCCTCGGGGGTTGCTTTTTCCCATTCCGTATTTACAGCTTCTCGGTTGGCTTATGCTCGAAGGCGAAGCAAAAATAGCCCGTCTCAGGTGTCCTCTGCCGTGTTGAACACGGCGGGTGTTGGCTGCGGCTTAAGTGTGATTGGGAGCTCCAGCGAGATATCCCCAGGTAATCACCGCACGGGTATGTAAGGCCCAAGTTTGAGATCTGACACCTGTCATAGCCCCAAAGATCGGCCCGTACCAGTTGTCCAACTTTAAATATAACAAAAGAAACATTTCAACACCCTAAAGTATGCAAAATTACCAAAACTATGAATGTATACAACCCGGGTATAATTATACAGGGTCAAACTTCTCTGCTCGAAATTATGTATCAATATATTCCATATGATTCATGTCATGTGGGAATCACCCTGCCACTTGCTGAAAGCAGTGACAAAGTTCGAGCAGGGTTCTGCTAGTTTAAACTCTGGATGACTTGTGCTGGCCATATGATCCAGAGATAGTAGTGTACCCAGTTCAGAAGGGCTGCACATTGAACCAGGTAGTTGATTTTTGGATCCCAGACTTATTATCGGTACCATTGATGGTCTGCCATGGGCACACTGGAATGGAAAAGCACATTTTGCCAGTCGAGACACAAGGCTCTGGCATTCAGATATGGAAAGCACATCATTAAACATGATAGCTGACCGACATGAACGGGAGACTATCAGATCAACCATCTTCTTTGGACAACCGCCGATGCGTTGCAGCCAACAGTGATGAGTTTCGGTCTTTCCGAGGCCCTTTTCAACAAATCCCTGGCTTCCACACTCTTCCAGTGCTGATCTGATGGATGGTTTGGAAATTTCTGGTTGATCCCAGACCTCTGAACGAAGCATGTCAATAGCGAGCCTAGGCTCTACTCGACATCGTTCAGCGATGAGAGTTGGCAAGCCCCTCACCACAAGGGAATAATACCCTTCTGCTTCCCTTAGGACTTCATACAGACAACCCCAGGAAGAAAAATACCCGGAACGTGCTTCGAATAATCTTGCTTCCTGACTTAGTATCCTGAAGCTTATGGGTGTTGGTAAATTAGTGGTATCGACATTACCAGACGGTGAGAGGTTACAGAGTGCAGTAAACAATTCTTCCACACGGCACCTCTCATCAGCGGCATGTTGGTCAACCAAGACTAAGACTTCCTCACCCTCTCTCTCCTCGCAAAGTAAGGAGGTCCGGAGTAAGATGAACTTCTGATCAACTTGAGCGATGACTGTTGCCTTTTTGAGGGCACACTTATTGAGCCGGCTGCCAGATCTTCCCATAAGTCCCTCCAGCGTACTACCACCTTGGAGATTCTGACAGTCTAGACAATGGGAATCTGAGGCGATTTTTGAGGACCACTTTTCACTGTAGCGTATATGTGATATCGTAGATGGAATGGGAAGTTCTGGTAATGGGAATGTAGGATTCTTCCAGCTTTTGAAAATCGAGTCAAACCAATGGGATGTTTCATTCCTTTTTTGACCCTGGCCATCATCTCCCGAGGGGCAGATAGCCGTAAGCCGTCGGATTGTGGATGGGTGATTTGGAGCTTGCTTGACCGCCTCGGGTGTGCGCGGTACTGTCTGCCCAGTACGTTTGTTGACATATATGGTCCTTTTCGTAAGAGGGTCCGTCCAAGACATTAGCTCATCTTGCGGCTTTATAGGACAGGGTGATGTAGAATGCTCATATACGGGACCGATTTCTCTAGTTGTCTCCGAATCTGTGGTATCAGATATTGACTCGCCAACGCTTTCCCCTCCATGTTCTGGGGCAGATTCAGCGGTTGGAGGATATGGGAACTTTATGTTGCATATACCAGTATCCCTTTTGAGTGCGGGTTGGGACTTACTTCTCGGTAAGCCTGCGCAGATATCATCATAAAAACCTCCTCTTCCACCTTTCACCCTTGACCACGATCCAAAATCATTAAACGGGAGTGCCTTGATGTCTGACGTCTGAGGCTCCACGGGAGGACTTTTCGACTTATCAAAGGGAGTAGAGCCCTTTCTGCTAGGAGAGATTTCGTGATACCGACGTTTAGCTACGGGTGGAGCAGGTTGTGGAATGTCAGGCCGAGGCAAATGGTCTTGTCTACCCCTTTTGATACATTGCGGATGCCGGGATAAGAAATGGTATTGTTCTAAGAATTGGCGAAACAACGCATTGATAACTCCAAGAATTTTCTGGATGGATATTTTGGACTGAAAGGATTCATAGCCCTGCGAATCAATGCAGCTGGCCTGAGTCGTGGAAACTCGGACGTAAAACATTGGCCATTTATTAACACCCTTGGATTTGATCTTTATCCTGTTAATGGAAGAACCTGTGGGTGCATCTGTATCCCCTACGGTAGCCATTTCAATCGCACCACTAACACCAGAAGAAGAATGCTCAACTCCAAAGTTAGAGGATGCGAATAACTGGTTGATTTCAGAGAACAGCACATTTGCGTCGCCAAGGGGATAAACTGGGTTGATTCCAGATGAAATGAATTGTACCTGCTTCGTTGGACCAGGTTGCAGAGATATTGCAGCCTCTACCCAGATATCAGAGCTTCGGGCTGATGCCGCAACCCATGACGAAAACTCTGAGGGAGTAATATATCCTGCATTCCCCAGAATTGAACGCACACGATCCAAATCCAAAGAATGTGGGTCTTCGTCCTTTATTACCTGCCGAAGATCAAGAAAATTCCGACCTTTACCTCGAAAAATCTGTTTTCGTGACCTAGATGCATCAATGATGTACACCTTGACTGGCTTTTGAAATGCAAGCAAGAGTCCTGTTATCGCTCTTTTCAGGCCATCCCACTCGCGGTCAATATCTTCGTTTCTGCGAAGATCCTGTACGCGGCGTTTAGCTCGGACAGGGAGATTGCTAAAAAGGTCATTTACGGCGACTCTTGTGCCATGCTGAGGGTGTAAGAGGTCATGCTGAATTGGTGCTGGACAAAGCCTTGAAATAAGTTTTGAGTGTCGGAATATGACTGAATTTGTTTCTTGAAATGAAATGTTACGAGATGTTATTGTGACCAAAGCCATGGATATCAAAGATGAGATAAATATGCCTTTGCGACCATATACTTGGCCTGTGGTATCAAATTTTGATGTGTCTAGTCGCTAACCATCAGCAAAGATATTAAACAAGAGGGTATCTGCGGCACATACGATGTAACTTTCCCAGGCCTCCGTTTTCATGGAATTCATTTGGAGGTATCCCGATGCCGTCATCTTCCACAGTACAAGTGCCTTTCTGGAAATCAACGTTTACCATGACCGCCGATGCATTGGCATCGAGAGAATTCTTGATAAGGTCAACTATAACACCGTTTAGACTCGTCACGATTGATGAGGACCTAATCTGCCCTGCCACATCCCGAGGAAGCACGCGGATTATTGGGACATTTGGACCCATGATACTCTGTATAGTGTGAGGGTTAACCCTCTGTCCTTCACCCACAGATCGTGCTTAATCCAAAAAAAGGTGTCCAAAAATTTGCCTAGGAAAGCTGTGCTTTTCATAAGATGATAAATCAAACGAGTGAACCGCGGATATCAAGCACAAGCATATATTCCGGTGTTTGGTTTGGTTTGTGGCCGCGCCTGCAGGAAGGAACGCACTGGAGTGACGGTATAAATTGATGGATTATCCTTTCTCCAAAGAAACTAGCAGGCGAGATCCCGTTGTAGGTGATTTATCGTCCAGAAATAGCATGGCTGGCAGTAGAAAGTTCCTTCAATTCGTCTCGGGGCACTTTGATACCAGCCGACGTCCAGCGTGGTAGCGAAATGGCTGAAGGCCCATACGAATCGACCCGCAACATGAGCGTTAGTCTCCGGGTATTCCACGCCTCCCGAGCTGTAGGTAGACACGGTAGGGTCTGTATCTGGTGAGTTAACGTGAATATACAACAGGAAGCAGAGACAGTATATGTGAATGTCGTTTCTCTTGGACGTTCTTGTCGTCTCCAACGGCTGGCCCATAGCGATATCACGTGTGTTAGTTGTACTTTATGCTGACTAAGCGCGTCAGATTCCCCCAGACGTCCGAAATCTCAAGGTTGTTCGATAAGGAAGACCAGCAGGCAAACGAGACGACACGGGAGGCACCGCATCCGCAGCGACAAAGGATCAGGATAGAGCGAGGGTGTCTGGGAGCAAACGGTGGCCCTTACTGGTATTCATATATATATATATATATATAAGGCTGCACTGAGGCTGCCTGCGCTACCGTCGCTCAAGGCCAGGTCTGATCTCCCGGGGCGACATCAAGGAAACAAGGCAGAAGGCATCACTTCGACACTTGTTCCACCATACCAACGTTTACGAAGAAGACAAGTTAACTACCAGCTGTCCAAATATGACAAGTGCAGAATCATCGCCTGGTATGCTCTAGTGGCAGACTCAAAAAAATCTCAGCCTTAATTTGCGGAGAAAGCTAACATGCAGCTACAGATCGCCATGCAAGACGACGACCATTCTCCCACTGGATGAAACGCCTCACCAATCTCAAGAGCTCCTCGTCTGACAGCAACTCCAACAATGCGTCGAACAAGCGAAACGGAGCCAGTACGCTCACTAAAAACAGGAAGAGTAACAATCCATATCTATCCGGCCCCATAGATAGAAGCTCCGGGGAACATACAAATGGCCATCTCTCCTTCTCTGAGCCGGCAAACAGCATACGACCCAGCCATCTGTCCCAGTATGATGACCCGTCCCCCACGACTGGGGATAAATCCGCTGCTCCCACGCTCTCTACGACTGGCGAAACCACTGCCTCTGATGCAGGCTATTCCAAGGCCGGTACCTGTGCTACCGGCGGCAATGGCTTTAATCCTGCTGGTGGTGGAGAAGGCAGCACCTTTTCATCCCCGTCGCCGTCAGTTCGCTCGCTGACTACGACTCTTACGACGATTCAATCGGCAGCTCCGTCGACCCAGCTCAACGCAGCCCAAAATGCGAATCACTATTCCGCTGGTATAGGCAACGAACACCACGGTGGATCTCACCATGCAACTACCCAACATCCAGGTGTCCAATTTACGCATCAGTTTCCTACATCTCCAATTACAGCCGTTCCGCCACATCTTGCCGTGAATCCAAATCCCACGACCTATTCGAGCGCCACAGCAAACAACCTGCTGACAGATAACGCTTCTGTTCTTACCCTGGCATCATCGTCCAAGCGTCGACGACGAAACTCTCTTGACACGAATGCGTCGGTTCTAGCACTTGCGCCCTCGTCTCTCTTCAGCGGCAGCCGTGAAAGCTTACCGCTTAGTATGTTGAGCGGACATGTCGGTTGTGTTGTTGGAGCGGACCAAAGCAGCTCGTCTACACATAACGTAGCTGGTGTGCTAAACCGAGGCGGTGCTTCTAATAATGAAAGAGCCAGCGTCCATTCCATGTCTGGAATAATTGCCACAGACCGAGGCAGCGTCAGAAGCGGTATACATTCACACCACGGCCGAAACGACAGCATTACCGGAAGTATTGGGATGCAGGTTGGCAGCGCCATCCCTGGAGTGTCTGGACGGGTCAGCCGCCGTGGATCCGGCTGGGGTGAGATTGTTGATTCTGAGGATACGGGCGATGAAACTCAACGTGAAGAATCCGATAAAGACGCCGACGGCAAAGAGCATACGGGCGAGAAGTCGGCAGCAGAGAAAGATAAGAAAGAATGCTAGCAGCGCCACCCAGGCCATTACAATAGGTCTTGTTTACCCCTAATCCCTTACATTTTTCTATACGTTCCACATCACTTATTTTCCTTTACCCTCTGTTGCATGTATACCCCTGAGTTTTTTCTCGTTATCTCTTTGTTGCTCATACTGCTTATCTTGACTTATGATTGTCACCATCACCGACCCGATCACCGTTGACCACTGTTTTCAATGCTTATATGCGTACGACGTTTTCCCCTGCAAGTTGGAGGTTATTTATTTTGTTGTATTTAGATATTACCCCGGATATTTTCCTCTTTAGCATCCAGTTCGGCCTTGTTAATGACATATTTTCCATTTGCCTTGATAGCTTACAAAGTCCTGAGTGACTTACAAGGCGATATCTCCGCGCAGTTTACTTCAGAATAGCTAACCCTAGCATCTATTTGTCTTTCCCCTTCACCTTGCTTCGACCCGGATGCGCCTCACATTATCTAATGGGATCCAGGGAGAATAAAACAAAATAAGAGATGAATTCTGGACGAGCAACCGACCTATTGAAAGAGTCCCAGCTCCATATCCACGTACCCCCTGATTCATGTTCTGCGCCGTTGCGAGCCCACCAAAATTACATTATTCTGGTGTTACTCGACCTCTGTTATAACAAGCGTCTGTCAAGGCAGCCATGCCCACGGCGGCATGGTCGTTACGGCTTACGATGGGTCGCAGGCTGAATAGCCGCAGCACGCTGTCCAATCCAGGCCTGAGACTCCTGCGACGATCGACGAACGGAATTTTACTTGGTTTGTTGTTCGAGCTGAGTCCAACTCCCTGCTTCAACGACTCCTTCGCGATGTGGAGGATCACCCGAAAACGACCATAGGCTCGCAGCCTCGTGTGATTATTGGTCCGTGGAGGTCGATATAACCCACCATGGGACGGTCAACTTGGGTCCATCTATTTGCTATTTAGTTAATAATATGCACCAGCTGATAAGAATGGGCGGATCATCGATGGCGTTTCATAAAGCCAGCAATGCCTCGCTGATTCCCATCTACACACAGCGCCTGCGTCAACTTCGGTCGCACTTCTTCAGCCGGCCGTTTCAAATTTCCTGCAGCCGTTTCCCTTTCACTAACTAGCTTACCCTTTGTGTCAGTCTGGTCTTTCACGCTGTCATGGCAAGCACGGACTTGCTGAACGGGAGCCACCGCGGTATGGTGAAGCGTATAGTTGACGCATTGGATAGGGAGGAGAAGGGCTATGGCACGGAGGCAGAGTCTCCAGTACCACCACAGACAAACGGACTGGCAGATGGGCTAACAGACGTTCAAATCAATGGGCTGGTTAGCTTTCCCACCGACGACCAATTAGAGGGTCAATCGAATGACCGGGCAAATGGAACCCAGAGAACCGCTACTTCGCTAAGTCAGCCGCGCCTTTTATCAACACGCTCGAAGCTCAGGACATTCAGAGTCTTGACTGGTATTGATACACCTGCAGGCCTCGCTACGGCCAGTCTAGTCCGTCGACCAGCTTCTAACGTTGGAATATATACCCGCGTCGTCAACGCTGAAGCTCGTTATAAACGGGAATACCGCTTTTTTACGCTCTTAATAAGTTGTTGCTTGGGGATACAGGTTGTTGTCGCAGCAGCACTGACAGCCTTGGGCGCTGGGAACGGTCCCCGTGTTTTGGTTACCATCTTTGGAGCAGTTAATACTGCTATTGCTGGGTACTTGACATATTTGAAAGGGTCCGGCCTGCCGAATAGAAAGCGTTATCACCAGTCGCAATACGCCAAGATAAGACAGCACATTGAACAGCGAGAACGCGACTTTTGCCTAGAAAACTGTGAGCTTGACGTTCATGAGGAGATTCGGCATATTCAACACATGTACGAAGAAGTTCAAGAAGATGTGGAGGCGAATACCCCAGAAAGCTTCTCCGGTGTAAAAAGAATTCAAGCAAATCAACCAGTTCTCCCCCTACCAAAAATTAATAATGAAAAGGATGGGATGTCAGGGAAAGAGGCACTGAACAATGGAGTCAGTATACCTTCGCCTGTATTGAAGCCAGGAATCGCACCCTAGAGCTATATATATGCCTTGGTCTGTTTGTTATGATTACGAAGAGGTTTTTGTATATATATTATTTTGAGCGTACTAGAGATATGTTTACTGATAGCGTCATTTAGATTGGGTAGGTTTGATCTTATAGCTTATAGCACATATGACTATCTACTTTTTATCTGTTACTATCTCCTGCCGGCTTTGCTTTCACTAATTATTATGAGTACTGTAAAATGCTCAAGGGGTTTGCGACAGCACTCAATGAAAATAACCATACAATAGTGCCACAAAACAAAGTTTAGGAAAACAGGATGTATTCTGATTAACTTATTTTGGGGCATGGAAATCGTTTCTACGGAGTACCTGCATCGGGCACTCTGGTGTTGTTAAAGCTGCTCTTCGCGGGTCTCCCCTTTCCTGGTGAGACAGCGCGAGAGCGACACAAAACTGTGGGCGCATATGTTGCGAGTTGGCTCACCCCACTGACTGACTCTACACTATATGAACGAGTCGTGAAGGCAAGCTTTCTGATGGAATCAGCCTGCGGCATCTACACCACCGTTAAACAGGGTTTATTACAGACGCCTGTCGAGATGAAAAAAAAAACACTGGAAGGCCTGGCATACACTGAAATGAGCGGATTTTGCAACTATCCCGCAGTATATTAAGAAACCGATAGCATCCTACCATGACCTTACGCAGACGGGATATTCTGTCCGCTAGCCGAAGGCGTACCTAGGAAAGATGAGAAAGGAAACAAAGGGGGCTATTAACTTCCTATCGAATAACAGTGCTCCGCAGAATGATTGATATTAATGCCGCGCAGAGAGGCGAGACGTAGCTCTGATACCTGGCCGGATGAGCTTGAAGCTGTATAGAATAACACATGCGTAGTTAATGGACGCGCGGGCGAAAGGGAATAATCTTTGCCTGGAGAGCGGACAGCGAAGTTTAAATGAGTTATTTTTAGGCGACGAGTGAGTGGGTCCAGGGGTTCGGGAGGCGGGTAATGACTAAGCAGCATCTTTTAGCCACGCCCAGCAACGACCGCAGCTTTCGTAACCGGATTACAGCTAGCAGCTAATACGTGGCAGCCTATTTTTCTTCTTCAGCCTTTGGACTGATGTAAGGAATGGCATTGATAAGGACTGTTGGACGAAGAGAGTGTAAATATTATAGGCGGCAGCCTGTGTTATTCCACGCTACCCTCCAGAAAATACAGAGGGCCATATAAATTCTGTGACAGTTGTCTAAACCGCCGGATACCTATGACAAAGAACATCATTGAAAGACGCGATATATGCCGCCGGAGGTCTCGAAACGCCTGTCTGCAATGCAAGAAACGTAAGGTGAAGGTATGTATAGCAATAGATGTATCTATCTTCGATATCTTGCGCAACCACTTAACTATCGACCCATAGTGCGACGAACAAGCGCCATGCTGCCACAACTGCAGATATCGGCAGATAGAATGCAGCTTTCAGGCATTTAGAATGCAATACTCTACGAGTATAGGCAGAAGGACACTGAAACCTAGCCAAAGGACTTTGAGGCCATTTCCTGCTACTGCGGAGCTTCCGATGTCAGAGGCCAAAGAGCAAAACAATTCTATACCCCTAGACCCGGCGTACCACCAAGAAACTAACCCTCGCCGGGCTGCATCAGATTGCTCTGGGACTACTATTTATGCTCCAAAACTCAACTTGATCACCTATTCTACGAATGTGCCGCGTCCAATAAGTTGCGCGTCTCATCTACTCCCTGAGGAGCACGAATTATTGCATCATTATGCTACAATCGTCTTTGAATCGCTGGCAGACTACGAGGCGTATAGACCAATATGGCAGGTTGTTGTCCCACGAGAAATGCAGTCTGTTAGTTTCTTAAAGCACGGGATTCTGGCAATATCCGCTCTACATATACACTATCTTCGCTTTAGAGCAACTAAACAAAAGGGACTAAGTTCAGAGGAACTCTTGCACAAGGAGCTAGCTCAGAAACATTACCAAGCAGCGGTAATGGAGTTTGGACTGCTGTTTCCAGAAGACCTATCCAACACTAATGCTGCATTTGCTTTTTCGCATTTGATGATTTTCTTCGCTTTCGGTTCTGCTCAGCTATCCAGCCATGGAGCTCTAATGCCAAACGCAATTGATGATTTACTGAGCTTATTTGCCTTGACTAGGAAAGCCATGGCATTTTTGAAAATAAGATGGGAATTACTAGTAAAAGGAGACATGGGAATACTCCTTCAGCGTGGCCCTGAGATTACGAACAGAAATTACCTACCAATGGATGTTGTCACCGCACTCAAATTGCTAGAAGAACTGTGCAACGAATGGATATCGAGTAATCGGGAGATTCCTGGTTCTTTTAACGAAAGTGGCCACGATATCAAGGCCGCATATCGTCGCGCAATTGAGCAGCTATGGGACTGCTTTGTCATGTTAGAGACAAAACGGAAGGACTGGGGTATGGCCCTCCGATTTCCTATGATATTTCCTGACTCCCTTTTTCCATGCTTTAGAGCTCGGGAACCACTGGCAATGGTAATACTTGCATACTACTGTGCACTATTGCGCAGAGCACCGGTACGATGGTGGGCGGATGGCTGGAGCACACAAGTTATCCAGACAATATTCTACATCTTACCTCAAGACTGGAGGTATGCTGTGTCTTGGCCGATGATTAATGCCGGGATTTTGTCTCGAGAGCTACAGCTAAGAGAATAGCCATGTTACCAAGTGGAATATCTATGTCGAGCCGACTGCTGGAGCATCTTAGAACTAATTGGTTGGCTAATAAAAATACGTATATCAAAACTTAGGTGGTACCTTGATTTATCGACCGATACCTGTGACCCTATCAATACAGGTTAATTTCCATTCTATAGTCCACGGAGTATGTTAATAGTATCTTTCTATATGTATAAAACGATCCCATCTAAGGCTTTTATGTACTCTCGTGGGCATGGGGATTCTACACCTTAATCAAAAGCCTCACACAAACCAAGTCAGCGAGCTTAGTAATCGGAAGTTTCCTTTAACTACCTTGATTGTATTTCATCCTTCTTCTCTTTTACATATCTCTAATAGCGTTGAAATTCACCTTCACCTGATTGGCATAACCGGGAAAGTATGGGTATTCCCACGGTGGCAGAGTATAGAAAAAGAACAGAAATACCCAAAGAAAGCCAAATAACCTGCGCCATGGCCGAATACCAGGCTGCTTTTTTGGCTCAAACCTGCCTCTAAGCTGTGGACAGCGGTGCCTTAAAAGCTGTTTAAGGCCATATTCTCCAAGGATTCCCAAGAAATTGAATACGATGTGCTCATGCTAGTTAATAATCCGGAATATGCCGAAGATATTATGTGTGTACGTCTATACTGGTGGACACCATTTCTGCATCATATATGACCAACTGATGCTTAATGTTGGCGTTATATAACAGTTCCTTCCCCTTCTTCAGATGCTGTGGCTCATAGCTACAGGGATAAAGCAAAACTTTCCCGTTTATATACATTCCTAGCTAATAACTAACTAGTTAAGTCTTCCCAGCTGAGGGTGATGGGCCTGGCTACTTGACTAACTAACCAAGACATATAACAATCTCGGCTCAGCTTCTTACGACCGTCGCTTCCGCTGCACAGTTCTGCCTAGCATATCCAATAACTAAAGAATTAGTGAATCCTCCCTGCTGTGGAGAGTTCCATATAACGTGTTTTTTCCGGAGGCCGATAAGCAACATCTCTCGTCCATTAGATTTCATAACTGTTATAATACACCCTGGTTGTCCAATGGATGTTTTCTACAATGTGTTGGTATATGCTATGATAATTGTCCACCCTTCACTGGGTTCACCGATGGATACTGAGATGTGAAGCAAGTACGAGTCATCCAGAATGCACGTACGATACCAGGAGTCTGTCTATAAAAGGGTGATGGTATTCCCCTTTGTTTTGAGACCATTCTTCACCCCAAGTCAGCGATCCAGAAGGAAGATACCTCAAATATACCAAACCACCGTTTTTAATCTTCTGCACTACCACTCCTGCAACAATTTTTCTTGAATTTTCAAAATGAAGGCTGCTTCTGCTCTCGCTACTCTTGCCCTTCTTGCCGTGGCCCCTCAGCCAACGCAGGCTGCTTTCCCAGTTTTTACCATCATTGCTGCCGGCCTTATTGGGATTGGTAGAGCCCTTGGTACCGCTATTCAGGGTCCTCGAGCTGCCGCTACCTTTGATGCAGCCGCACTCCCGCCGGCGTCCCACAATTCGAATATGAACGTTGTCGTAACGATATCAAGGGCCGCACAATTGATATTAATACGAACTACCAGAACCGTAATTATACACATCACCTGGCCCACCCATTCCCCCGGCCCTTCCTTTTTTCCATCTGATGGAGAACTAAAAGACATCATTAGACCTTGAGGTCAAAGGCCTCCCTCTCACCTGCATGAACCTTGCCAATGTCATGGCTGGCGATGGCACTCAGGGGCCCTATGCACTTCCATGCGGTTCGGACTGCCTGTTCTACGATGCCATTACCCCTGCTCAAATCGAGGAGTTCAGACACAGCCTTGGCTTGTCGATAAACTCCGAAAGTAGCATTCCACCACAGGCTTATTGATTCAAACTTTTTCCAATTGTCAAAGACTTCACTCCTTTCTTTCTAAATGTCATATATTTGGCAATTCCCTAACTGGTCCTTTCGTTCACATGTCTCCCTCTAGAGAACCCTATGATTTTACACCTCGTTTAAACCTAGCCATTCTAAATCATTTTACCTTCACTGTTGTTAGTTTCTCTCATATCACAGTCTATTAGACGCATTTTAGCAGCCAAGTGGCAATAAACAACTTTCGAAGAAAAGTAATCAGTCCCATCAACAAAAAAATCAAGTGAAAACCATTTAAAGGACTTATTGAGTTAACATTAACTACCTAATAATCAATCCATAGCGCTCGTATATGAGCAAGTGGCTAGTACAATATACTAGCGGGAAGCTGTAGACTTGTTTGAGCCGCCAAATCCACCGCTTCCACGGATAAACATAGTGGAACGACTTAGATAGATTGACACAGAAACTGGATAGAATATGATTTGTATTGTCACAAACCCCAACCGGTTCCATAAGGAAACTCGTTGGTACGCGTTTGAAGAATACGCTTGACTAGGGTTATGCTCAATCAGCGAACGCAAGGTATGAGTATTATTGGAGGGTCAAGGAATGCATTTTACATACCTCCGTCCCAGCTTACTGGCTCTATGTTGGAATTAGCAATTTCTCTCCAAATCCGCAAACACCAGACCCCAACTAGGGCATCCCGTTGATTCTGAGGCATGCTTTTAATTATGTTCAAGCGAGAAATACCATCGTCAATCGTGTCATACGCCAAAAGGTGAGCCCCATCTCCAGCCACACGCCATTCGAGCCGTCCTTTACCCTGTGTTTTCGCAGTAAAAACAATATCTTTAGCTTCAAGGTCAGCGCCAGGATGGGCTATTGCTGCCTTCCAAGCTTGATATCCTGAAGAGAGAATGTGATGATATTTTTTCAAGCCAATATGACCTAGACTTCCATGGGAGGCAGGCTCGAGATGGTATTCCAACGATGGTGTAGTAGTGGTTGGTGGCCGAGTTAAGTTGAAGATATATATGCCTTTCTCAGGCGCTCACTACTGGAGAGCCCGTGGTATCGCGGTTGTGGATACGATTCTCGCAGCGAGACAGCTCAACTTTCGTGTTGTTCTTGCGTAAAAAGCTAATATCAATGGAGAGTTTGTATAGAGGAGTAGAGCAAGAGGCTGGCCTAGATGTGCTATGTATGGCGCCGCCGGCAAGGAGAAGCGTTTCTGGGGGAAGCTGGTCGTCTTTCGAGGGACTCTGTGTGTATGAAGGGAGATTGCCGTCGACATCAGCGGAAAGATTTCGGCCTTCCTGTGCCTTGAGTCTTTCTGCTTTGGGTGTCGTAGCCATTTTATCTAGAGAACCTCCTAGGTCAGTCTTAGCACAGTTATTCATAGCATGTATGGTATTTAGCCTGTGTGAAACCTGAGACGTCCGCTCCAGAAACCGAGCTATTTGTATATACTGCTGGGTAGATGGAGGCTGGCATAGATGCCTTTTATTCTGAGCACAGCCCTGTCTGCTACATGTATTGATATCCCAGTAGATTATTGATGGAGTCGGTTATAAACACCGAGTATGAACTCCGCTAACTAAGCCACATGCTGGTGCGGACAGAAAATGCAGAGACTGGAGTGGAGCGGAACGGGGCGCTTCCACCCAAGAAGTGGAGCCGCAGCTCAACTATGGACAAGGCTCCGGGCGGATCCTTGGCTGAATTCCTTGGCAGGTGACAGAGTAAACGTGAAGAGTTTTCTAGTTGCATGAGATGTGGGCAACTGATGGCATTTAAGAGCAATTTGATATTGAAAGCAGAGAAGGGGGCTACTTAGGGAGAACTCTGGTGCTGAGAGAGAGGCTGTGTGAAATAACCATCAAAACATGAGTGTGGGGTGCGTTGGAGATAGACCAGCAATGAAGGCGGGGCCACCTAGTATATGAGAGAACCACTAAAATGTAGCATTCTCATCATGCAAGGCCTCTGGTTGCGATGGCATGTCTTGCATAGATGGATTCGGTGAAGCTCGGGCGCAAGTTCATCGGCTCATACCCCCGTTGTTCGTTCGATCTCTTTCCTTCTGACTGCATTTCCAAGTTGTCCGACCCCTTCAGTGCTACCCTGCCTCGTACAAGAGTTGAAATCACGCCCGGATGGATGACATTCAAGGTCACCATGAGAATAAGCATTAGCGTGGCGTCAAACATGTATAGATAATATTCATGCCTCAGTAATGTCCCATTTGTTCCCTGAGCAAATTCGGCAACTCTAAAGATAGAGCGTATCATGACAAGGGTGGAGACAACATAAAGACTGTACAGATATTTTCGCCACGAGAAATGAAGTGATAACGAGGCTGTTGTCGGATGGGTGCTCATTCGAAGGTGAATAATGACAGAAACAACGATGAATAAGCCGAAAAACAGTATCTGAATTGTCAGCCCAACTACGACGATCTTTTCGCCGAGCGAGAGGTTTGAGGGCTTGCCGCTTGCCATAATTCCACCGCCTGCATAGAAAACGTCAGTTTGTACATATCACACATATATGTATAACGCCTCGTTACGATATCGCCCTCACCGAGTCCCTGAACGACAAAGGATAATATATCACCCGTAACAAAAATCTTGCTCATCCAAGAACGTCGAACAATGGAATGATCTTCCGCTTCTAGTATGATGATAAGTCGACCCAGCTGCATATAGATTGAAGCAGCAAATAATGCAGGGGCTAGAAGGAGGAAGAGGTTCTGAATGATGTATGGCGTGTCCGTGAATAAAGGTGCCTCAGTGCTGGAAATAATTCGGCCTCCAAATCCAACTATCTCGACTGTAAGAGGAAGAAACCAAGTCGGTCAGCACATCCCGAATCCGTGTCCTCGAACAAGTATGGATTGGAATACTAACATATGCCACCAATGAACAGAGGAATAAAAAACTTTACACGGCCTCTGATAATTTGAAATAAATGGATAACGAAGGATATCAAAAACAACGCAATGAAGGTGATAGCAGCAGCCTTTGAAGGGGTGTACTTGTAGAAGTCATGAAACTCCTCATCGGCCATGATGAAAGAGCCCCGGGAAAAGGATATGCTGGGACAGATGAAATGCGAGGTAGTGCCTTAGCGTTCCTGAAAAGTAATAATGTAGGTAGAAGGTCAGATCTAACACAGTATATATAATAACTACTACAAGACTCGTAGTAGTCTGTTGCCGCCTGGAATGCCATGGCCAACTGCGGCTGTATGGTGTATCCGAAGGCAGAGAGAGTCACAATGCACACGCGTCCCGAGGACGCAATCCTGAAACCTGAAAGAGTCATTTCCGAACTCGAGCCTGGTCCAAGTCTAACAACAGCCAAACAGCTAGGTATCCTGTAAGTTGCTGGCTGGAAGGAAAAAGGGAAGAAAAAGGAGGAACATGAATAGACTTTAAGCTCATCATGGCTTGGCATCGTATTCGGAAACTAAACCTAATGTGGAATAGTCCATATAATGCTTAAATTGCCAAGACCAACCTGTGAAAGACGCGATAATCGAGATTGAAACCTATAGATGGAAGCTGATAGCTGAGGAAGTGCTTGAGAAACGTGGCTGGGGCACGGCTTTGCTACGTGTTATACAGGCGCTTATATATGTTTGCCATTAAGCCAAACACCAGTAAATCCCTCGGAAACTAAGCCTAAACAGACAGGAGCAACGCCATTCAGAGTCGGGTTAATTCATGAAAGTAATTAGGATTATAATTATTATAGACAGTAGGTGAAGATGTCTCCGTCCGTTCCCCCGTTCCAATACAAGCCCCAGCCACCCGCGAATACTGAAATTAGTTCCTATTGGTTCATTGGAAATGCAGAAATATGTAGTGATAGATCGAAAAATATTTAGACAAAAAGAACCAAAGCGAAGACAAAAGGGAATATTATAGACACCGTTTTAGGACGCCAAAAGCTCCATAAAATGATGTCTGTCATGTAGGCAATAAGAGGAGTGAATTAATAAAATCCAAAGACGGGGAACGTAGCGAGTTTTGAGATAAGAGGAAATGCGACGGAGAACGAATGAGCTGGCAGAATATGTCCTTTTTTGTCCTTTTTGATTTTCGTTAGATGTAACGCACAGGGCAGAGAAAAAGTCTATGACGGGTATTGTTAAGAATGGGTATGCGCTTGCTCTTTTTTGGGACATGTCGCCATTGATATCATTTAAAGTGGGAATTAAAAAGAAAAAAAAAATTGCTGAATAAATGATGCTCACTGATTTGGGTGGGAAGGCCTCAGAATAAAAACGTGGGAAGAAAGAAAGAGAAAGGGGAGGAGGGGAGTTGGGGAATTTTGCGCTGTGGGGTTAAAGGCATGAGTATTTTAATTACTGCCAACGGGCTTTCGTCTTGAATTATTAACAGTTGAAGAGATTCGGGGAGCACCTTGAATCATTCGTGGCTCTTTCATAAAATTCGGGTCCAATTTTGCGGGCACTGAGACTGGAGTAAGTAATGCTCCTCAAAATCTGGAGAAAGGTAATATATTGATGACATGGTGGGGATATACTAACCTCGAGTGACGACAGACTTCCAATCCAAGGAGGTTGGTATCTCTTTCCGTGTGGTTGGTGAAAAGGAGGAGGCACTTGCTGATCGCCAGAGATGATTGGAAGTATCGCTAAGGAAATCAGTTGTCATTCGTCCGGAGAAGAAAGTCGAGCGACCACGGTTGCGCTTAGATAGCACAATTTCATCGAACAGGATAATTCGCGGGTCCTTTGACTTTTGCTTCGCGCGTTCCCGTTCGCTGATAAATTCGTTGAAGCCTGCGACTAAGTTAGTAAAAACGCCCAAATTATCTCCCAGGTTTGCGTTAATACATACCTTGAGTTTGCTGCAGGACTGTCATGTACGCTGCATGTTCGTGTGGTAAACTCTTGAGGAAAGCTTCCATTTGGAAATCGTAAGTCAGCCCATTCTTCTTCTTGTCTCCAGTGGCAGGCCGGAGGAATTTCTTGTAGGTATATAGTAAGCTTGCAAAGCATCGTACGAAGGCAGCACGGATCTGATCTGGATGGAATGCAACAGGGCACACCAGACAGATTTGTCCAGCACAGCGGTGGTGTACAATGGTTGTGCAACCGGTGCACCTATAGGTTGCCTCGTCTGCTCTTTCATCACAAATGTCACATGTCGATCTTTCATCCACAGGCCGCAATAATTGCAAACAATGACCTTCTATCATGGTGGATCCAGCCGGACTCCGTATAGGTTGGAAATGTTGAGGCATTATTGTTGAGGCAGCGATTGTGGATTGTGCATATATCGACGGTGCATATACGGAAGTTCCCGCATCCGTATTTAATGTAGTTACCGAGAGATTTGAGGAATGACCGAGGAAAGGAACGCTGGGCCTCCTGGGTATCTGTCGTCGATCGATAGCTAGTGACGAACTCCTGCGGGAAGCCTGGTCAAAGTGGCCTGATCGCTTTTCACGAAGGGATGCCTGCAATGCAAACCCGGAATCGTTCCGAGAGATTGGAGTGGATGGGTGGGGGAAATTAATAGAAGTTGGCGAGGCGGTTCTGGGTGAGGACGGGTTACTGTTCTTTGAGGTGGAGCTGGTAGAGGGCCGCTCATTGCCTCTTGAGAGGGAAGCATCGCCTTTAGAGCACAAGAAGGTATTGTAGATAGGAGCAGGGTTAACGGATGATTGCTGTCCAAAAGATGCAGAGTTTAAAGCAACGAATTTCGGTAAGTTTGTAGATGGCGCTTTTGGGGAATATATTGATGGGATCTCTGCGGGCACACAATCATACGGGAAGGTCTCCATGGCGTATGCAGGCGGCCCGGCACTGACACCATAGCGGTGGTGAAGAGGAGCAGCAGCTTGCAGCAAGGATTGGAGTTTTCTGCGTTGATGGCGAGGGAGAGGGGTGGGACGAGATGTGCTTTCAATGAGATCCTGGTCGAGATCAACGAGAACAAAGTCGTCTGCGGGAAATTCGATATTTTCATATCGTCTTTCGATGCCGACGATATAAGGGCATGGTGCTTCGATAGCTTGGATAAGCCGAGCCGGAAGAATGGGTATAAAAACGCCAGTCCACTGGAAAGGGAATAGGAGTTCTATCAGTGCTTTACTTGCGAGATTTAACATAGAGATGTAGGATGATAGGAATATTATTCTCGATTCGGCGAGAGCATACTAAAGGGATTGTTAACTATTTCCAACTGTTATAGAACGTGAGGAAGATGTAAAAAAAGGGAACATACCTCGAATAATATGATAATATTTGAGACTGAGAGAGCGCGGAATAGGGGGTATAGATCAGTCTATTAACGAGGGTCAGTTAGCATGCAATTTCGTAAAATAGTCAAAAACAAATTTATTCTTTGACTGACATTTCGAGATCCGGGGAGTTCGTTGAGAGCCTCCTTTCTAGCAAAGAGCCGCAACTCGCGGATTGAGATTTCCACCTGTGTTTTGGAAGATATGGGGCTGAAGGCCTCCATACACAGGTTTACCACGTATCTCTCGAGGGGCTGCCATCTGCCTACCCTGGGAGAAGTTGGAGGAACCCTCAAGATAGCGCCGTCCATCATGGGCACTGTGACGGCTTTGAGCCACTCTTTCCAAAACGTTATCATGGAGGCGTCTTTTCCAAGAATTCCGTAAGCCCGAGGTATCCAAAACCCGGTATCTCCGTCGGTTAACCCATCGATCTTGGAGGCAGCACCGTGGCGAACGGGGCGCAAAAGGTCAGCCATCAATCCAATCTTCTCCTCAACCGCGCTTATTTCATCCTCAAGGTTCTCTCGGGAAGTAGACCCAGAGGGGACAGTAGGGAGCTGAGCGAGCAGCCGAGAAAGCTTAGCACGTTCAAGGCCGAGCCGTTCGCCTAGGCTGGCGGCGAGTTCTCTCTCCTCATTAGTCATGTTATCTCTCCTCCATTCCTCGCATCTCTTCTCCAGCTCATCTGCGGCATTATGGTTCAAGGGAATCCACACGGTCACACAGACCCCGTGGAGCTTAGACCCATCACCACCGGTCATTGCAAAGCCATGCCAGGTTGACCGAGGCCGCTGGTCAGAAGAGACGATGTTTATGTCGTTGGGGAAGGCGAACATGGGGATGTAGTCTGGAAACTTCCCTCTTCGTTGGTTTTCGTTGGGGGCACCCTTGGGCGGGTATCTGTCGAGAAGGACTGGTTCAAATTTCCGTTTCAGTGGGTGCATGTTGGCAGGCATCTCGAGCGGTTGGGGTACTGGAATGACTGAATTGTAGTTGCTTAGACGTCTTGACGTTCGAACCGAAGCTAGAAGCAACCATGTTAGTTATACGTAATAGAGAGAGAGAGAGAAAAAAAAAAGGGAGACGATGAGGGAGACGAACATTGTCGTGCAATGGAAGGCTGTCTTTTCATGCTGCTCATGTCTCTAAAGGACATGTGCCTTCGGACGGTCCCAATGCTGGACTTCAACGAATTGACATCCTCGGCGACGATCTTCTGTGTCCTTGGTCGAGGTTTTGGTCTGTTTGGCACCACGGCCCCGGCACTGAGGGTCAGGTCCGTCAAGAAGGAGTCTCGCTCGGAGGCGAACTTGCGAAGGGCGTCGTCAAAGTCGGCCTCGCTGAGAAACGAGCTTCCTGTGCTGGCTCCGTTCGTGCTGGAAGCAGCTTTGATGGTCAGACTGCTCCTGTTGCTATGGGGCTCTGCAGCGTTCGAGGAGGCCGGCTCAAAGGTCGAGGATCGGAAGGAGAGCCGCGCCTCGTCGCCCGTCTTGGGGAACTGGACGGAGTTTCTGTTCGAGACGGCCGGCGAGGTGCCTGTCGACAGGCTCCCTTCCTCGACCTCTGCGTCTGCGTCCTCCTCGATGGTATCTGTGACCGGCGGCGCGGGCGACCGGGACGCTTTGTACTCCTCCCCGAGCTTCGAGTATATGTCCAGGATCTCTGAGCCGTCGACGCCGGCTATCCAGAAGAACTCGGCCAATGGAGCAGAGGAGGGCGTGTCGACTGTGAGCGCGGGAGCCATCGCGGGAGGGTTTCAAGGGCTCCTGGGGGCTGGAAGTAAGTACGTATAGATGTATGTATATATGTGTGTGTATGTGGTGTGAGCTGAGTGTGTAGATGGCGGCCCTGGGAGGCAAGATCCGGGAGTCGCTGTCAGGACAACGCTCCCTGGCGCATGAGTAGCGATCGGGGCGGCAGGCTCCTGGTATCCTTCTGGTCGACCGACGAGAGGCAGCTGTCCGAGAGTAACTATCTGGCCAGAGAGCAGGCCCAGGGCTGGCTGGCGAGCGGGCTCTTGGAGCTGCGAAGGCGACGAGGCAGAGCTTTTTCGTGCCTGCGAGCAGGACTGGCGGGCGAAGACGAACCGAACCGAGCAGGGCGATCGAGGCAGAGGCAGAGACAGAGACAGAGACAGCCAGCCGCAGTAGAAGCAGGCGACCGCAGACGATCCGATGAAGCTGTTTACGACTGTCCCGTTCGACCGGCGAGGACGCTCTGGCAGCGAAAGAGGGAGAAGGGGGAGGAGGACGGGAGGCGGAAGGCTTAGCTAGCTGGGGCTAATAAGGCAGGGCGGGTAAACAACGACAGTCTACTTGAAACCCGGCATCCAGCATGCACGAACTAGCCGTTTGACAGGCAGACGAGAAAGATGAAGCTGACGAAGATGAAGCTGACGAAGAGGAAGAAGAAGAAGAAGAAGAATCTGCCTGGCAGATCTCGGGCAAATCGACAAGCAACGAGCGGGATCGATAGGACCGCGGATTATGGACAGGGAGATCTTCCCTACCGGCGTGCTAAAACTAATAGTGTCTGCTATATATATATATACATATATACATCGAGGTATCAAGATATCGCCCTGCCTTCTCCCTCAGCGTGTCTACGGGGCTGACTCGAGCAGCGGCAGCAGCAGAAGTGAAAGACCCGGGGCGCTGCCAGACAGTCACAGGCCACCCATTTTCTGAGCGGATGAAATCTCCATCGACGGCCGAGGATGTGGAGAGCACCGCGATGATGCGCATAAGCTACATACCGGGGTTACTATGAGACCCTCTGCCTGGATGCTGGGTGGTTGGTGATGGTGGAGGACGGGCGTTATAATCGCTGGGACGGGACCAAAACTCGATGTCTATCCACAAGGCGGCGGCGTCATAACTATTGCTACGGAGTCGTTAACTGGCTGCTCGGGCGACCTATGACATGGCCTGCCTGTTTCCAAAGCCGCATGTTCCTGTTTGTTTAAACCCATCGGCCTCGCATCGACAGACCCAAAACGGCGGGAGATTTTCCCTTGGGCCCCTTAATATTCAACTGGGATTGCGAGGCCTCTGGGACTACCAGCCATCGCTTTTCGAGACAGCCGGCCCGTCTTCTGCTGCTTCGGGAGAGACAGACAGACAGACAGAGACAGAGAGAGACGCGCGGGGGGACAAAGCTGAGAGGGACGAAGGTGACGATAAAGAACTCATCCTGCACCCACCCCTCAAGTGGAGAGCGTTCAGGGGATATACGGTCGATCTACAGGGATCGAGGATTATTACAACCAGTCAGCAGCAAAGAATACGACGCCTTCCCCCAGGCCGGCAAGGGCACTGATTGGCTTCACGGTTCCACGAACTGCTCCAGCAGCAGCAGACAGGCCCAAAGTTCATGTCCACCGCAAAGGGGAGCGGTAGATAACTTTTTTTTTGGGTCGAGAAGATCAAGAGCCACTCATATCTCCAGAGAAAGGCTCATTGGCGTTTTTCCGAACAGACTAACGTGTACGTTCAACTCTCTCCTTTTCATCAAATGATCATCAAGAAGCTCTCTTTTTGTTTTACCTCAGATATGCTCCGGATTCCGTCCATGGATGCCGGCGCTTGCTTTTTCGCTCAGGCGATTGCTCCCACTCGGAAATTCCCCTTCCAAAATCCACATGGTCCGTTCTTCGGTCTGCATCCGGATTCCACCCCTTTTTTCGGGCTTTCTTTGATACTTCTCTCTTTAATTTTTATCTTATTAATGGCGAGCTGCAGAGAATGATAATCTTGCGGGATCAACGGTTCCAGTTTGTTACTCGAGTCCAGTTTGGTTGTGAATAGGGCTTTTCCCTGCTGCGTTGGACAGAGGAGAGACAGCGTACCAGGGAGCCTGCGTGCTGAACCAGACCACACGCGATAGCCTGGAACATCTGCCGCATGCCAAACGGTGCTTCGTTTGCTGGATTCTCGACTCCTTTCGGCCCTTTCAAACTCTCGCCACCCGCAGAGGCTAAAGCTTGGGTGTGGCCAAATTTCAGCATCCCGAACGGTCCAACAGCTAACAGCTTTAGCTATCCAGAGGTCCAGCTGCCGGCTACCATAAAAAAACGGCCGAATAAGCGCCGTGATTTTCTGCGCATGAATATCTAAGATAGAGGAGAGACAGAAAGATGAGAAGCATCCCAACTGCTTCTCCTGCCCCTGTCTGCGTCACCATATGCATGTTGTGTTCCTTGAATATCGCTTCAAACAGGGCATGAGGACACATGTAAATGCGTTGGACGGGCGTTGAATGTCTTACATTTTCTTCGCCGCCAGCTTCAACCCAGCTACGGAGTACAGGGCTGCTCCTTGCTGCCTGACGCGTGCGTCGCATTCCGAGCTCGATCTCCGACATTCTTCCTATTTATCCTTCCTGCTAAGTCATGGATAAACATCGAAACAAATTGCTAAGCCCTTGTGACACCCCGTCCTCTCCTTTAACTTTTTCTTTACTCGCCGAGCTTAACTTCAATACTATGCAGGGAAAAGGCTAGATGCAAGCCAATATTCACATAAAACAGGAGGGAAGCTCTCTAGTTTGAAACTTCGGTCATGGCTCGCCAAGGGCTGGGAACAGGGAGGTCGCTTTCTCGCCTGAGATTGATTAACCGCCCGCCCCAGGACGCTTGGAGATTCCGTCTTCCAGAATATGGGGAGCGGGATTGCTCGTTCAATGGCGATATTCCTTGCTGAACCACTAATTCCTTACTTGTACGTGATTGTTTGCCGAGGCTTCAGCTAAGTAAATCGGCTCGGGTGCGGGTGGCTTGCTAAGAGATGATCGACCAGAGAATCCATGTCTCGCATCTCGATATTTTTCCCCAGCAAGCTAAGATCGAGCTAAAGTAGCTAAGTAATGACTTTCTCCATCCACGTATCGGCATGAGCTGTGTTAAGATACGGATCCTCTCCGCAAAAGGTCCCCTCCATTTCCAGAGCGGCAGCACCAATGTCCATTACGGGGTAAGTGGAGGCGAGTTTCAACCCGCTGAAATTAACTATCTAGCTATCTCATCAAATTCGTTATCGGGTGATTCGTAAGATAGGGGGGAAGACACAGGCACCACCAAGTATCAAGTATGCGACTCAGCCACCTTCCCTCGAGCCTACGATGATACCACGGTTGACACCATTTGTCTAGCGGACTTGGTTCGCTTCCCCTGGTTGAGATGTGCTGGAATGCCACGTAGGAACGGACATTCCTTCTATTCCATCGATAAGCGCTCAGGTACGAACCCTGATGCACGGTTGCTGGGTTCATCCGTCCCCCCAAAAAAATAAATCGAAGAGGGCAGTCAGCCCGATGCAAGCAATCTACCCATGTAACGGGACCCCTTTTGCATGCAAGCACATAACGACCAGGGGCGGGTTATTATTACCAGGGAACAGGAGGGGGAGTGTGTAAGCATTTACCTATGCTCTCCGTTTTGTCATCAAATTTCCTGTCGTCAGGTAACCCTTCTCTCCCATCGCGCTTCGCCATTGTATAGACAGCTGACCTAGAGCTGTGCGACCGTCTCGACTGATGTCTTTCTGCGTCGCTTCAAGACCTTCCTGTTCCCCTTCTTCCTGCTCAACCAGAAATGCAATTTGTACCACATCTCTTGGTGCCAGGGTTGGAGCTATTTTCTTTTGGTCTCCATCCTTCTCATAGAAATCCCAATTTAACGACGTCGACTTAAATGGAGGCTTAGAATTAAGCGTTGGGACCTATCTATTGGTTAACTCTTGCCCTCTTCATATCTGTAAAGTATAGAGTAATTAGAGGAAGCATGCACGTTTGTGCAACTAAAGCTCTTACCCCTAGAACAATCATTCCGTCTCCAACATTTTCAAGCTGTGCTTCCAACGCAAAACGAAGTAATCGCGTCTTTCCAAATGGTCCAGCTGAACGGTCCTCTATTTCCCGCGGAGCTAGCTCGGTAGCCTTGGTCCTTACACTTAGGCACGGCTGGGCAACAAATTGATAAAGTTTCCTGAATGTACGCGCCCTACCCCCCGAAGCCTGAAACCCGCCTGGTGCATCTTTGTTGGCGGCCATCGTCGTTTCAGTGTAATTCACGCTCACTGCCAACACATGGTTGCCCTCCTCCTTAAGGTCAAAGTGGATTATCTTCTGTACAGAGGCAGTAGTGGATGTACCGGTCGACTTTTTAGGCTCTTCATCTGCTGGGAGGAGCTCCAGTGGGATCGTCTGAGAGGGCGTTTGCATATCTGCCTGTATTCTGACGGAGGTCACGACCCGCGAGTTCCCGCCAAGAGCTTCATTGTTGGCAGATAGCGAGCACGCAAACGTCTCACCAACATATGCAGATCCAAACGATGGTGGTAAGGTGAGCTATTTATGACAAGCATCCGGGATCAGTTTCATGAACATTTTAGGGAGGGTCTCCAACACCCACATTCGGGCTGAGTATGAATTGTGAATCTGAGGTAGCTGAAGGGTAGCTGAGAGATGTGATTCTCGAGAATTGTGCGTCAGATACTGGTATAGGGTGCTGTAGCGAGAGAGAAGGCCGCGAAAGCCTGAGGTTCAAAGCGTCAGTTGCTGAGTCCTGTCAACCTGTGGCTTCGCACTCACCGTAAGACTAGAACAGCTGTCAACCTAGATAGTCGTGCCAATAGAGGAGAACGGGCAGGCTTAGTTACCTTTCAATGAGATGGAGTGAGGCTCCTTATGCGCATCAGCGCCGGAGACGGCTCGTGGCCGCGACATGGGTGGTGGCTACTGCTCGGTCATCAACCTCGAGCTTTCAAGATGTTCTTTTGATGTCTCTTTTGGCTTCCAAGATGGCGGCCGATAAGATAAGATCCTATTCCGGATTCAGTCTAGCGCGCGGAATCTCCAATTAAGCTCGAATAACACAAGAAAAGAGAAGATAGAAAGAATATCGAAGCATTTTTCGATGATAACTTGGAGTAGAGGTCGTGATGTCTGCTGAGAGACTCCAATTCAAGCTATGGACACCAACGAAGCAGCGCAAGATTATATAGATAACTAGGGTTTCTTATCTTGTTAGACGCTCAACCTTCAGGTTGGCGTGTCCTTGCAAAGAGATGCTTTTCATAGTGTAGTCAAACTTCTGTCGGCCGTTATTGGTTATGCTTTGTGCCCGGACTTAAGGACACTAGACAGATAGGAAGCATAACTGAGGACGCGGTGTTGGTATCGTTGACTTCCTTTCTCACCAACAATTGATCGCTGTCCCGAGAAGAGCTCATCTCAGTCAGGTCGGGTGCTGCCTAGACCGGATCAACTATGATCCAACGTGCTATAGGTGACTGCCTACGTAACCTACCTCTACCTAGAATTCAATACCGAGATATAGGGCATACTATCCACCATCAAGTATCAAATCTCGTTGAGGAAGTCTTTCCTTTATAAGCGGTCTTCCAACATCTTCTAGCTGTACCTGGCTTTCCTTTTAAAATTAAGGAGACGAGGGAACACCAGCCTCCACAATTCGTTCTTTCCTTAGCACCTACGATGATTTGTTACTGTTAGATACCACTACGCTCTTAGCCAGCGTCATGAAAAGGAAGAGACAACCGGATATAGCCAGCGATCAGCCTGGCCCTGCTCGACGGGCTCGAAGAATCCAGACTGTGCCAAGGGGTGCAGATGTTATTGAAGGCACTGGCGAAGCAGCATCTCAAGCTACATCAAAGTCAACACAGAAACAGAGAAAGGCGCCTCGTCAAAAGGACGAAGAGCGTAGACTGCGTGCATTTAGGTCCAAACCACCGCAGACCTACTTGGTCAAGTTAGACAGAGCAAGAACCCAAAGGTTAATAGCCATAAGATTATTACCCAGACCAAGCTCCCTATTGTATAACCGGCAGCATGCTAACGTATTGAATAGGTTATTTGTCCTCAGGCGGACAAGAGGAGGAACCGAAGAAGTCCCAGAGGAATATATTGACATTGCCGGCTCAACCGGCAACATATACCAAGTTGTCATCGGGAAAGAGCCGTCCTGCACCTGTCCCGATGCAAAAAAAGGCAACCAATGCAAACATGTAGTATATGTAGGGCTCCTAATACTCAAAGAGAATCATCACATCATCAAATCTCTCTCCTAAGGAAACATCCTAAATGTCGTCCCAGGTCCTATATCATGTCCTCCGAGCCCATGAACATCTCCGCTACCAGCTCGCGTTTCTATCATCGGTATGAAAATTCTTTACATCGAACATGAAGGCAAAACAAATACTTATCGAGTTCATCCACTAGGAGTTGCGCGAGATTTTCGAGAATGCGCCGCAAAATCCTGCGGAGGCCGCTTCTACAGGCAACACTAAGGGGGTCCGCAAAGAAATTGACGGGGACTGTCCGATTTGCTTCATGCCGCTTGAAGCTGAAAACGAGTCTATAGTGTGGTGCAAAGCAGCTTGTGGGAATAATGTTCACCAGGCTTGTTTTCAGCAATGGGTTTCCAGTCAGAGGGGAAAGGAGATCCGATGCGTTTACTGGTATGATGCTGTCCATACATATCTCTACTACGTTGTATCTTGTAGTTATAGTCGTTCTAACTGTTTTATTTTAGTCGAACTCCTTGGGAAGCAAATGATGTTTCTGCTTTGGAAAACTTGCTAGAAACAGGCCAGGTCAATAGTGAAGGGTACCTGAATGTTGGTGCGAGCCTGGGGTTGAGCTGCCTACGGGGTATGAACACATCTTTGTATACCATTTCCTTCCCTGGCACGGCGCTTATGTTTGAAGCTGCATATATTCCTCGTAAACTAACTAATTTTAACCGCAGATTGTTCTACATATCATCAGCCCTTGGGCTACCGACGGCGGTATCGCTAGCTCTGGCATAATGCGCTTCTCTTATGTACTTGTGCCCGACCTGGTGTTGGCTATCAAAGTATAATCCGTGCCTTGGGAAGCGCGTTGGATCATCATACCCTACTATTCGATCCTTCAGGTTTAATATATATAATTAAAGTCCGATTTTCCATTCGTACTATAATGTGCTGAGGGCACAGATATATACAACTAAAGAAATAACAGCACTTGGTAACGTCCCTATCACGTCCTAGCGAGTAAATTATGATGTCACTATTACACCTCCTCTAATTACAGCGCTACTAACGCCCTCTTCACCTGCCATCCATGATGGCATTCGGTTAGGGTCAATCACACCCAATTCTGCCAGCTGTCGTAGGCCTGCTACGACATCTGAGCCCGCAAATGTGAGTGAGACCACTGTTTGATGAGGAGATGGGCCAGGCTCTAGTGTTGGAGGGTCTTGAAGTTGTATCTCGAGGCGATCCAGAGCTGGATTTGGAGTTATTTGCGGTAGGGATTGGTCAGTAGCAGTTGACAGAGTAGTTTGATCGGGAAATGGCTGAGGCATTAAGTCGAAAGATGACAAGGCACGATTTGGGTCCCCAGAAGTACCGAACCGGGATATTATGACTTTTTTTCGTTTCTTCAAAGATTGACAATCAGCTCTTGGCTCGTTAACTGGCCGCTTCTGCCTCTTTGTGGGAGAATGGCTTAGGTTTTCCTTATCATCCAATGATGACTTATTTGTATTATTATTTGTAGTTCGGGCGTTTCCATTCTTAAAAAATGCAGTGTTGCTTATCCTGGGCTCCAGGGGCCCCGTCTCAACAACTGCATCTGCAAACACGGAAAAGGCGCCATTAGCACCAGTTGTTCTCCAGGGTCCCCGGAGGGTAAGCAAGGTATGTAGGCTCTTTGCTGCCAGGGATGTGGAGGTAAGTGAGTACCGCTGTTGGGGCCGTGAGAGAGCTTTCGGGACTGCGTCATTGATTATGCGCCGTAATGTCCGGGTGTCGGTAGAGTACGTATTATTATTCCCATCCCTTTTCGAGCTTGAAGTTAAAACAAGTGAGGAATAGATAAAAGGTGTGCTGTCCGGGAAGGCCAGATAGATTAATCTCGAACTATCAATAAATGTATGAGGAGATTGGCGTGGGAATTGGTAGGGGGAGTCGATGGTTAGTATTCGAACGAGCGTTAAGGGGAGTGAATGGAATCGGTGGATGTGGTAATGTGCTTTAACGAGCGGTGATATTTCACGCTGCATAGCTTTAACAAAGCTGGAAGCCTGGAAGCGCGGAAGAGCTGTCGTATAATCTTCATTGTCCCTAGAGTCGCTAGGTAGTGATAATGCTGATGCGCTGCTTGCATCTATTCGGAACGCTGTCCACCGGTGGCTGGATGGATGCTCTTCGATATGTCGCACATCTGCCATCGCAAGCTGCCGAAGCGTTAAACCATGGCGCCAATCCCCTTCTAGAATCCGATCGATCACTTCTCTCTTCCCACCCTTTTGACCTTGGAAATCATTATATATTATCTTCAGGTCTTCCACGCTTTGAGCTGGTGAATAGGGGCTCGTATCATCGTCGTGCTCTTGTGACTTTGACTCATCAGAAAGTAGGTAGGGGCTGCAACTGGCCAAATTTTTCTTTTCTAGCCATTGGAGAGCTAGTGATATAAGAGATGCCCGTGATAGCTTGCTTAACGTCTTTACCAGCTGATTTGTGGAAGAGGGTATGCGAAAGGTATCTGGTAAACTTGCGGACGTAGGTGCGAGGATGGAGGATTTTCTAGCCATGGTTTGGGTATCCTGGCTAGTGGTTAGGGGCGCATATCCAGAATGCTGGGGTTTCGTTCGACCAAGCGAGCGGATATTGAGGAAGGCCGGAGGGAAGTTTGTGCTGTCTCACAGTTGCGATGGAAGCTGTCGAGCCTCCGGCTTTTGTTTACTTTTTCTTATCAGCAATCATAACAATTTTATGTTGTCATTGATTACATAAGCTAAAAGATTCAGAGAATATCTTTATCACGTGATATTTACATGTGACTAAGCTGAATACTGCCCATTCTAATCATAACAGTGCTTATTCAGCAGCTAAAGCTGGTATGTTACCGACATTACGGGTAGCAATCCCTGCTATTGGAGAAAGTCGTTACTAGTTGTATTACACTGTAATCACGTGTTGGCTTCTTGATACATAGAGAGCAATAAAATAATAATAATGGCTTCAAAAAGTCGCGCCCACAGAGAATAACTGAAGCGATGGCAGTAAAACATAGTGAGCATTTGTTCAATCAATGGATCTGTATTTCTATCTATTTAAGTGGCCAACTCCTGAATACCTCTGAGAGGCGCAATAATACCCCCCAAAACACTGAACTGGAATGTCGTCATGAGGCTGCTATGATGTCATCGGTTGACCTATGCGTTTTTCCTTTATCAGCGACGAGGCGCTGCGTAAGGTGCGGAGTGGAAAACGAGAAAAAACCCGGCCCGGAAAAGGTGCACGCGATGAATATTCAGATGTAGTATCAAGTCTCATCGGCCAGAGGCCTCAACTCATACCTTGCTCATCATCATAAACAAGACGTGTTCTTGACGAGGTCCTTACCTGGTGAGTCCGCTTTCCCTCCCCTCTCCCGCAGGCCAGGGCGGCTAGGCCAGTTCTGACGGTGAGATTCTTCTAGACATCTGATCAGTGTCAGAACACAGGTTGGAGACCAGTGGGCTGAGGGAATACGGCCAGTGATGATATCAAAAAGCCAGAACAACGGCCGATGCCTCTGCTTTCGGGTACATGGCGTTTGCGTGTTGGTGGCTAGTTCTGAGGTCGCCTATCTCCAGTGCGAAGGGAAGAGAGGGGATAATGATGAAGATGGGAAGAAGAAGAAGAAGAAGAAGAAGAAGAGAACGAGGAGGAGGAAGATAGACGCTGGCAGCATCTTTATACCCTTCTACGTTGTCGTTTTCATGCCTCTACGGAAGGTGCAAGCAAAACACGGAGACTTCTACGGTAAGTGCTATTGATGGCAATCTAAAACGGCAGGTTTCACTGCTAGAGATGAGTAAATAGCCAGCGGAGAATGAGTAGGGAGAGGGAGAGGACTGGTAATGGAAGTTGATATCCGATCATTGGCCTTTTGAAGGCTCTTGGAAGGCAGCTTAGATGGCTCTCTGCCGGGATTTCTACTGGTGCATGCGCGGTCATAACCCACTGTCTCTGTAAAACAGATCCCTACATAGAATATAGCATAGCTATCCTACCCTATGTCTCTACTCTATGTCTGGCCTACGTCTTTCAACGTCTATCAAACACCAATCTACGCTCGCTCTACAGTCTCACAATGCCAAGCCGGCTGTTCGTCCGAACGGAGGAACCCGGACACAGCGGGAGAACGCGGAAAACACAGCCGAGGATGCTTATGTAAGTAAATCGCGCGTGGGTGACCAACGAAGCGGATTTGTCATCCTCGTCCCCGCCCGCCTTGGAAGCCGGAGACGGACGTCGCCAACAGGTTCTGGCATTTGCCGCAAGCGTTTTTGCGTTTCGTTTCCTCTTTTTCCTGAGCCGGCCAGCCAGCAACAACCCATCGACAACCAACCCACCAGACGACGAACCGTCAGCAGCATAGAGAAGCGTGCGTGTGCGTCCTCGATCGTTAGACGACAGATCCCCGAATCGACCTGCTGGCACGGGCTGCGACCGCCCGACGCTGACCCGGACAGGCACCGGAAGCGCTTGACTCAACAGCACCGCCTATCGCGGCTGGGAGTCCCAGGGTAGAGCCTGCATCGAGAGCAATACTAGCCAGGACAGCAGCGCCATGGCCGAATTCAACGGGCGTCGTGCGCCCAACTTCTCGCAGTATCTCAATGAGCTGAACACCCTGCCCTCGCCCTTCGAGCAGACAGCACAGCCAGACGATCTGGGGTTCGATGTCGACGCCGAACTCGCTCTGTTCACGAACGCAGAGTTCCTCGATTTTGACCCGGCTGGAAATGTCGGCGGCATAGACGAACAGCAGCTTGTCTCTTCGGGGACCGTGAGCCCTGCGAACGGACGGCAGGATATGAACTACGTGGGGATTCTGAATGGTGAGTGTTTTATGTAATAGATATATGGTTGTCCTCTGGCTCATGCTTACTCGACATGTATCCGGTCAAAGCAGATTTCAACATCTCCAATTTCCCTTATTTCCAGCCCCAGCAGCCGACGGTCCCAGTCCAGTCAACTACCTATCCATCAACTCAGCCTCTCCCTGCCAACACATCTCTCCCTCAGTCTACTCCTATCTATCAACAGCAACAGCAACAACAACACCAACAGCCGCAACCGCAACCGCAGCACCAACACCTCCAGTCACAACCACAGCTACAAGCACCACAACAGCCAGTAGTAACTCAATCACAGCCGGCCAGTGTTCCGGCCAAAAGGAAGTCTGATGCCACCACTACTTCAGAGGCGGACCGTCTAGCCCAAGAAGAAGACAAACGCCGGCGCAACACCGCTGCCAGTGCCCGTTTCCGCATCAAGAAAAAGGAACGTGAGAAGAACTTGGAAAAGACTGTAAAGGATGTGACGAGCAAGAACTCGGCTCTCGAGTCCCGCGTCAGCCAGCTAGAGATGGAGAACCGATGGCTCAGGAACCTCATCGTCGAAAAGAACGGATCTGCCATCAGTGAGGGGGATCTATCTGGCATGTTCGATAAGTACCAAGAGGCCACCGGACAGCATCAGAACCAAAAACAGGCCTCGACGGCAAGTCCTAGCTTAGAACTCAAGTCTTCCCCTTGAATCTTATGTGATGGGATGGTTCTATTTAGGAATACGACGGTTGCGCTCCTCTCTTACTTACCCGCCCCCTCCCCGCACTCCATCATCGGGCCACCGTTACCAAGTTCTCCCTTTTATTGCTATTTATCTATCTTTCTGTTTCTCCCACTTATCAATTCTCATCTGTAATCTTGATATTGCCTTTCCTTTTTGTCTTTTTTATATCCTGTTGGTGGGCTCCATCTCCCTGCCTCACCGACTGCTCGGTGGTTGAACCAAAAGCGACCTATGAACCATTAACTGCTGCATACAGTTCAGCGGCACCCAGTCTACAAGGATGCCTTCCAAAGGGCATGTCGTGGGGAATACACTGTCCCCTACCCTTCTTGGCTTATATCTTGGTTGTTGGTGGCCGAAAACGGAGCAGGGCTACGTATGGATGGCCGGTGATGATAATGTTGACGATTTTCCTAGATAAAGCTGATGTGTGTTTCTTTTCTTGTGTGACCGTGAAACGGTCCAGATCCTCCATTTACAGTGCTATATAGCCCAGCAAGAATAAGTAGGAGACACAATTCCAGCTCGTGTTACTCAGTTTCTTTCTTTCGTGCGTAAGCCAAGCCATACAGGTCTATGAATTCTATATCTTTCAAATAAATGCTTTAAATCTCGCTCATCGTATGTACCTATACTCAAATGCAGGAATAATGTCTCCCAAGTATATATACCAGTCGCCTACCCACCTACATGAACCAGATCCCGGCGTAAGCGTCACTACGAAAACCTCAATCCTCTGGTTGGATCCCAGTGTCCTGGCTTCGCTGTACCTGCCGTCGTCCCTGTGCCAGTCGCATTACTCGAACTGGACGCCGAGGGCTCCACGACAGTCCTTGACTCCGGATACGGAGCGACATGTGCATTTGGTGCGGGCGCCGGAGCAAACTTGATGCCTACTTCGGGTGACCAAATCCCGCCGCCCACAGGCGGCATGGTTGCGGGTGGAGGCATGACGTTTGCCCTGGTCGGCTGGGGGGCTGTCAGTGGCTCTACAGGGTTCGTAAAGGACTGCTGATGCTGGTTCTGAGCAGGCATTTGTTGTGACGTTGGTGAATGGGCTGCAATGTTCAGGGCTGCCATGGCCGTGGTGTTGGCAATATCCCTACGTAATAGGTTAGGTAAAAAGGATACTGTCCTAATATAATGTATCAGGGGGGCTAGAGACTTACGTTTCCATTCGGCTGGCTTCTAGTCTTCGCTGGTTTACGAATTTCTTGCAGTCCTCTCTAAACCGGCCCACGATCCTTGCTAGGTCATTGTAAAACTTCCTCCCTGTGTCAATGTTTGATACGATCTCCTTATACTTCAAGTAACCAATCTCTAGATCTTGTAGCGCCTTCTCTCTCTCTTTAGTCGAAGAGTCGCCCCTACGTGCGGCCGTGAACACCTTGTTGGCTTCTCGGAGCTGCTCGCCAAGTTCGTCCTGTTTCCTCTGCTCCTCAGCAAGCATGTTTCGATCACTATCATAGCGGCGAAGATGTTTCTCGAACAAGCCTTCGAACTGGCTTGGCTGAATCTTCTGCATAGGGAATTCACGCTCTAGGCGTGCTGTTTCTTCGAGAAGTGCAGAATCTAGAGGTGCCATTTGTTAGAAATACATGAGTCATATTAGGTGGATGCTTAGGGTGCTGGGCTACTTACTGATGTTGTCCGCCTGGGAGCTCTCTCGCAAATCTTCAATCAAGCGTCTACGTCGATTTTCAAGTCGGGTAACTTCATTCAGTGCACTTCGTAGTCGGCTTATTTCACGTCCCACCTGAGGTGACAGCACAGGCCTTCGGCTGCTGGGTACAAAGGCCTCCAAGTCTCGATTTGTCCCAGCCAGAACCTGCAGCACTCGACCATGTTCATTCAGCTTGCTCTGGATGAAGTTATCGCTGGTATTGGCGGATGAGAGGTAACCCTCTATCTCACTGGTCTGCGCATATAGATTTGGAGCTGCTTTCTCAGATGGCTCTCGGGTCCACCGATCAGTACCATACTTGAGTCTCGCCCTTTGGTCCTCTTCCTTCTCTGCGTTCAAAAGGTCTACTGCTTCGGTAAAAGTAGCTTTGTCAGTTGCTTTCAACTTGGAAGTGTCGTCCAATGATGTTAAAATGCGGTTCAGCCCATCTTGCTGCCGAATTTCTTCTGCATGAGATACTAGGCTAGGTGGCAGACCCAGGGGCTTTTCGAGTGCCTGGAGAGACCCAGGGAGGTTCAACGATTGTAGGAGACTATTTTTGAATGTTAGATTCAGCAACATGAAAATTTCAGCGCAATAGTCAGAATATCTTACTCTCGAAGCTTTGTTGTCATGGATTCCAGCTCGCCAATGGTCTCATTGACTCGGCGGTCTCTGCGGTCAGCATATATACTAGCCGCAACATGCACAGCGTAAGGTACCAGTTTCGCGAATAGGGCACGACCCAGAGGAGCACCCTCTCCAATCATGGACAGCCCGTTTATCACTTCAGGTGGAGCTTTCGCGGCAACCATATTAGCCCTGTCCAGGAGTTTCAGCTCCGACTTGGGAGGAACATGATCCAGGTATATCATGTCATTGTCTTTTTCAGCCCTTTTCAAGTCTTCACTGACTCTGGATTTCAACCCATTAAGGTCACTGAGAACCACCTTATTGATCCACCGCTTTTCCTTCAACGCCTCGTTGGCACATAAAAGACTGTCTCTCAATCGCGCAACTTCCTCGCCATACTTTCTCTTCTCTAAACAGTCAAGTGATTGCCTGTATTGCGCAGCTGCGGCAAAGTGGTGGTGTTTGGCAGTCATATGATGTATCCAGTCAGTGCTTATGCTGTTGGATTTCACTGCATAACCGCCAGCATTGATGTAGTAATCAGAGACCTTCGCGGCTAACCGTGCAATTGAGACGTCTTTCAAACCATCTTTCACCGCTTTTTGCCAAAAGCATTCCTGACTTTGCGCAAGTAGCAACTCTTCCAAACTTCTTAACGTCATCTCGTCCATGTCTTCTGGGGGTGATGTTCGTAGGTCTGGTAGTATATCCATCCTTATATGCTCGATGACACCAGCAGCCTGGCAGAAGTATTTGCATGCAGTCTTCAGGGTCTCCGAGGTGGCGGGAACAATG